TTTCACAGAAATTTCTATTTTTAGTAACCACGGCAACACCGTTCATCGAAATCAAAAACCGATACACAGAATTATGTATCTTAGTGTATTCTACTTGTGTGCCAAGTTATACTGAAATCAGACCAAAACTGTAGTAGGAGTAGCATTTTGAAAGAATTTCACTGAAATTTCTATTTTTAGTAACCACAGCAACACCGTTCATCGAAATCAAAAACCGATATACAGAATTATGTACCTTAGTGTATTCTACTTGTGTGCCAAGTTATACTGAAATCAGACCAAAACTGTAGGAGGAGTAGCATTTTGAAAGAATTTCACAGAAATTTCTATTTTTAGTAACCACGGCAACACCGTTCATCGAAATCAAAAACCGATACACAGAATTATGTATCTTAGTGTAGTCTACTTGTGTGCCAAGTTATACTGAAATCAGACCAAAACTGTAGGAGGAGTAGCATTTTGAGAGAATTTCACTGAAATTTCTATTTTTAGTAACCACGGCAACACCGTTCATCGAAATCAAAAACCGATACACAGAATTATGTATCTTAGTGTATTCTACTTGTGTGCCAAGTTATACTGAAATCAGACCAAAACTGTAGGAGGAGTAGCATTTTGAAAGAATTTCACTGATATTTCTATTTTTAGTAACCACGGCAACACCGTTCATTGAAATCAAAAACCGATACACAGAATTATGTATCTTAGTGTAGTCTACTTGTGTGCCAAGTTGTACTGAAATCAGACCAAAACTTTAGGAGGAGTAGCATTTTGAAAGAATTTCACAGAAATTTCTATTTTTAGTAACCACGGCAACACCGTTCATCAAAATCAAAAACCGATATACAGAATTATGTATCTTAGTGTATTCTACTTATGTGCCAAGTTATACTGAAATCAGACTAAAACTGTAGGAGGAGTAGCATTTTGAAAGAATTTCACTGAAATTTCTATTTTTAGTAACCACGGCAACACCGTTCATCGAAATCAAAAACCGATACACAGAATTATGTATCTTAGTGTAGTCTACTTGTGTGCCAAGTTATATTGAAATTAGACCAAAACTGTTGGAGGAGTAGCATTTTAAAAAAATGTTTACAGACAGACGAACACCTTACTATAGCATAAGCTCTTCTGGTCTCTGACCAGTAGAGCTAAAAATCACGTGCAGGGCAGGATAAATAGCTAGACAGAAGGCTGGGCTTGGAGCACCTGAATTGGCAGAATCAAAGCATGTAAATATAAGGAATAACTGTCTTATTTTTCAATTTCATGACGATTAGCTTGCGTGATAACTTTATGCATAAACGCCTTCGGCATTTATGCAAATTATCACGCAAGCTAATCGATTGATCTCTTCATGAAATAAAAAAATAAGACAGTTATTTCTCAAGTTATTTCAGCATCTATAAATTAGTTTTTGGAGTTCTGCATAAAATTTGAAAATTACTACATCTAAAAGACTCAACCAGACCTGAATTAGTTAATTTCTATTAGCTTGCCCAATTCTTGAATCAAAAAAATAAAAACTTACTAAAATAGTCGAAAAATGTTACACAACTATTCCTTACTAACCATCTGGCAGAAGACATCCACTTCCTGACGAAGATCCGTGTCCCTGAAATGTTTTACAGTCACCACTGGGAATCTTCCACATCCAAGTGTCTCCATCCTGTGTACCCACAATGAGGACGTGGGCAATCTGGTGCCACTGCATCCACTGAAATAATGAGCAATTATTACTGAAGTTTTGCTGGTAAAATATTGCTCACTTATGCTGGATAATGCAATGGCATACAATCTTAATATTCAAGTGTTTGATTAAAATTTAGTAGTTGTAGCTTAAATGTTGGATAAAAATTTTGTTGTTGCTTAAAAATACTGTAAGTTTTGTTGTTGCTTAAAATAAAATAGATATTGTTTAGCTTTTGTTACATTCATTTTGCAAAAATAAGCCCCTCCGGCTTCTGCTTAGTAATTTAGACCCAGTAATATCTCTATTTACATTTATAAGATTCTGATTTTTATGATCTTATTGTCTTTTTGTGAAAAAAGCTTGTTATGGGTCCTGGACTTGATAATCGACATGATCAAAACTGATCGGTAAAACCATTTATCAACTATTGACTATTGGCAATGAAAAATAGTTTCCTTGCCTCAATATCTGAGCACTCAAATGACCAGACTTCTTTTCCAGTGTCCACTTTCCACACTTTGACTAGTCCACTTAAATCTGCTGATGCTGCGTACACACCATCATGGCTGAATCCAACACACGTCACTGAATCTTTGTGGCCTTTAAAGGATGTAAATATGTTACAATATCCAAATTTGACTGAATCCAGCACAGATTTGAAGTTGATGGATAAAAATAAATACAATGTGAGATATATCTGAAAGACTATGCACCAAGATACACATAAGAGTTGATACTTTAAAATGGTTCTCTTAAAGGTCAGGAGAACCAATTCTGTTTTGACAAACCGGTGTACCCAGATTCAGATTCTTCGGTCTTCCACAAACTTAAAACCAATTTTCTACACATGTACCTCTATCTATAGTGTTTTATATCTCACCATCACACTGGAATTTAGTTTCTCCTGAGGAAGCTGACCAGACATAAGCCGTGTCATCCTGACCCCCCGTGATCACCAAGTCACTTGTCTTACTGTCAATCCGTGCAGTAAACACAGAATCTAGAAAAGAAATCAATGGAATAATTCCAAGATCTTGAAATTATATACATTACTTATCATCAAGGATACAGGGGTTTCAGAATTGGAATAAAAATGCAAAATAATGCAAAGTTTCACATCATTGTGTATGTATGTTATGCAATAGATGAAAGATCAGAAAATGTCATAAATTCACAAGTGATGGCCATTAGAATCATAGGGAAAGAGGGTAAGGGCTCAAATACCCCCTCCTCCCACAAAATGGCAACCTTTCATCTTTAGAACAGATAATGAGTGAAAATTAATAAAATACATATGGTAAATAGATATGCAGATGTAAGCACAATACATGTACCTCAAAATGCTCAAAATTAAAATTTTGAAACAGAATACTGTATGCAGGGAAATTTTTGCCCCTTTGCCCTCTTCTTGATTGGGCAAATTTAAAACGGGGCGAATTCAAAAATTACACAGCATAATTTCTTAAACAGAACTATGACTGGGCGAATATGAAACGGGGCAAAATTGTTCGCAACTGCAAAAGGATAAAAATTTCACAAGGAGAAAATAACCCTGTATACAGTAGTTCTTAGTCATAGTTAAATACATAGCACATTACACTGCTTACCTTCTTTAGCATGATATCAATTTATTTATTCTTCAGAGACATAGACAAAGACATGAATTCACAAAAGAAATGTAAAAAATTAAATTGGAAAAAAAATAATACAGCAAAAAGTTACCTGCATGCTTCTTATAAACAAAGGTAGCATCATCTCTGTAGGTTGCTTCATCATCAATCTCATCCGAGTCATACTGGATTTCATTCTCCAAGTCCATCTCATTTATATCAGCTGACAAATCTGGATTTAAAAAAGTAAATCAAGTTTTGTTCATAAATCAATCCCGAAACTACTAGGAATAATGTCTGACTCTGAAACACCTAGATACGTTGTAGCAGTTTATGACTTCGTTTTAGTGCATGCATTAAATCTGTCAAAAATGCTTAATGCACTTCATGGTAACACCTGCTAGATAACTGAGCATTGCCAAACATACTTATTCTCTATAACAATTTCATTCCATGTATTTAAATTAAAAAAAAAAAATATCAAAAATAGAAATATTTAGCCAGAATATGATTATCAGACATGTCTTAAAATTATCCTAAAACATGTATAATACAGGTTTGAGATACATTACGTGTCTGTTTATTTTTTTCATGAAGGTAAATATTTTGTGACTGTAACCTACTGACTTGCCCTTTGGCCTCTGGGCTTACGAGGTATTAGATAGAGCATTCTATCGTTAAAGTGTTATATTTTCCTACGGACCCGGTTTAACAATTGAATTCATTCTGTGTACTGGTAACTGTTATTTGACAAAGTCTGTGCATTTACTACCAACAATCCAGAGTTCTGAATATAAACATGGCCTGTAAATTTAAAGCGAGAAAAAAGCACAGATTTTTTTTCTTATGATTAATTTGATAGCTATTCTCAGCACAAACCCTTTTGTGATCTTTGAATCATTGGAGGAAATCCGCTTCGATTTGCTACATTGCAAGTGTATTGGAAGTATTCTAACTGTTGTGACGGTTTGTCCTGAGACAAAGTTAGCTTATTATTCTAACTAGAAAGATGTAGAATTTATCAAAGTTAGCATGTTAATTGGGTTTGTCTAGTTAGAATAATCTAACTGTGTCTCATGACAAGCCTTTACCATATCATTTTAACATAGAACATTCTATCTAGGGTACACCTATTCTCTTTAGAGAAGTGGGCAGGCTTTCGCTACGCCAAAGCCTGTCCACTTCTTTAAAGAGAATAGTGTACGTCCAGAAGTTCACATACCGGTACTGATTAGTTAATTTTGCTGCACTGTCTGATTATCTCTGTTTTCTCTATGAAAACCTTTTTGGTAAACTGGAAAAATTTCAATTTTGTTTGACAGCTGATCTGTCAAACAATATATTTTATATATACAAATATCTTTCGGATCGAACACAGGTTGATTTCAGAATCAAAACATTGTGAACAAACCCCCTCCTTCGTCGTCATCATCTTCATCTGGAACAGGTTCATTCTCATCAATTTCAATCACTTCTACTTCTTCTTGCTCAGGATCCATCGCGTGCAATATTATCAAATCAAACCAAAATAGAGCTTAGTAAAGTACTTTATAAAACAGTAGCTTAAAACAGTTAAGTGACTAAGACACTACTCTTTAAGATCGGAGATAAATTTTGTCCCAAATTCCATCTGCGTCAAGAAAACGCTTTAAAGCAGCCAAAACGAGCGTGTGTTTCAAGCGCTGAATTTACAGCGATAGGGTCAACAAAGTTGTGTCCGATTTTCTTTCGCTCATTTTCACAGGAAGAAAACACGCAATAAGTGATTTGTCATGAACAGAAAAAGCAATCGTGGAGGAGACATGCACTCAATTTTCAAAACCAAAAAAGTAATGGGTTCAATGTAAGTACAAAGCTTGAAAAGAGCTATGCTTAAGCTACTTACGTAAGGGACAGAGGAAATTCGAACAAGAGGTCTAAATTCTTTAGGTAAATGATGCAATCATCTATCTATATTTCGTTTTGCTTTTTGATAGGCCAAACGGTTTTTTGCTCACCTGAGTCGAAGGTCAAATGAGCTATCTGTTCGAAATTTGTCATTGTCTGTCGTTTCATTTGTTATATTTTCTCACTACAATGCAATATGTTGACGGTGCGACCGTTAGCACAGGAGTCGGCAGTTTTATAAAAAAACTAAAACTAAAGTCAAAATCAGTAAAAACCTAGCCATGAACTTTGCTCACGAAGAAGTCGGCAGCCGACTCCTGTGATGTTAGGACGAGCGCAGATACTTATACAGTTTTAATTTAGATTGGGCTCGTTAAACCGCATGTGACATTTGGTGCGTTTAGACTCTGACGTCATATGTATGCCGCATTGCAAATCCAAAACCTGATGAACAAGGCTGATTTTAATGAGGAACTGTTTTATTGACTATTTGTCAGCTATTTATTTATTAAATCAAGGTAAACTTATTATCTCTTTAATGTTTGTTGTTATTCTTGTGAGAACGTTGCTTTAAGAAGCGATGCACTGTGGGTCTAAAGTTACTGAGGAAAAAAATTCTATTGAATGAATGTGCAAAGTCCGAATTTTCTCTTCGCCCAAGTGGTGCTGTAAGAGCTTGCAGTGACGAGCATCGTTTCGCGACGCCCGCTATAATCTTCATCCCTGGAGACACTAGGCCAATTGAAATTTCAATTAAACTTCCCACAGAGTATCCATGGGTAAAAAGAATTAAAGTTTATTCTAACAAAGGGCTACGCCCCCGCCCAGTGGGAGAAATGGTGAAAATTGGATGTGGTAAGCTCCATCCTCGCAATGCCCGGGGCCCCGAGTCAACACATTGCCGTTGGACCCCTTGCATATTTTATTAGATATTTTAGGGCTTGCTTTTCTCTTAGTTAAATCTTTTAAATTTATGTATTTGGAAGAAATCTGATAATTAAAATAACTAAATGATAATGAAGTACCGGTAACTCAGTTAAGAATTGTGGCCCTCAGGCCTCTTTTTAATGGTAATCTTGGTTATTGGTTCAGTTGGACAGTGAGGTATTGATATGAAATTTCAATGCAACTCAAAATGAGATAAGCACTACCAGCTGCATTATGGTATGTTGACTTCTAGGTGTTCTTTTATTTTTGAAGGTATATTTTTTTTTACAGGTTATTAGTTGGATTGATTTCTTTTCCCATATTCTTTGTTGTAAAAGAATGGCTTGTGGTACAGAAGAGAAAACACAATGAAGAGAGAAAGAAAATAATCACAGAGTTAAGGAGGAAACAAGAAGAAGCATTCGAGGAGATGGAAAGAGCAGAAAAATTAAAGGAAAGTCAATCATCAAGCTGATAAACCCACAATGTATAGGCTGACTTTGAAAAAGTATTTAATGTTTGAGGATAACTAAGTGGGAGTGAAGGACTTTTAAAGTATCTGAGTAAGTGCATTTCTTTGTTGATGGCAGGTCCAGCAAAACAACAGAATGTACAAGGAAAAAGTTATATATTCCAGGGAACAATATTTGTGATGTTTTGATGCCTGGAAAACAACTGTCTACTGTTGTACATGACATCTTTGTATACTGGCATTAAGAACATTTCAAATTATAGATATTTATTTGCTGTGAAAACAGATTTGATTTATGTTTTATTTTGTATTTGCAGGTAAAATAAATTGTTCATCGATATTAAACATTTTTATTTTTATTTGGCTGGCTTTTTTAACCTAATATTTGGCAGAAGATGGAGAGGGGGATTACTCACTACATTGTAGCTTCCTGCATTATGATTCTTTTTCATGGAAAGCAACTACCATACAGGATGGAAAATTATGGAATCTGTTTTATAATCTTTTCTCCAGGAATCTAGCTAAGCCATTGAACTGTATCATAAAATAAAACACTGGCATTTTTATTTTTATCTTCAAGAGTCTAGACTTTGGTTTAGTTCAAAGTTATGAGTCTTGAAACTAAAGATCCTCTGCTCTCATAGCAAAATAGAATAGACCCCAAATATACTCTTTCTAATGCAAAACTCTTAAGTACATGTACCAATAAACGATTGCCGCCCCTGTGACCCTGTCCCATACTAGCAAAATAATTATGCAACGGTTTGGGCAGTAGATAATATTCATCCCAAGCAACTCAGTCAGTAGACCACCTGTCTAGTGATAAATGGAGACCAGGTTTGAATCCCTTTAGGGTCCATCACATTTTTCTCCCTGTTATTTTAGTGCCATGACCATACCTTGGATGTGGCATTTGAAAGACCAACCAGGGAGGACCTTTGTGTCTTTGGGGGCCTTCAAGGAGGAAGGAATGTGATGGTTAGTAAGGTTTGAATGCAGGTGTCCATATAGCTCAATTGGTAGAGCACCTGACTGGAGATTCTGGGGGTTCTCTAAAATGTATCTTATCAACAAGACATTCTCAATTCAGAAAAAAAAAATTGAAACATCAGGTTTAATAGATTCACACTTACTTTATTAATCATACTTAATAAAAATAAAAATATAACAACAAATCAATTTGATTTACAAGTTGTAGTTCTTGTAATCTACTCTTGAGAATGACAGCTTTTATTAATGTCACTTCACACATCACTCTACTGCAAATCACTAAATTACCATTTGTTAAATTAAAACTATGAAGGAAATTGATGGTGTTTCTTTATGAATTTGATGACAAGTATATTTATGTTGAAAATGACCAAGCACATTATGCAAAGAGAAAAAAGCACTTGAGTGATACTATTATTTCTTTGTATGAAAGTAGGAAGCACTCATTGTTATTCACCACCAAACCTTTCGGAGATTATCTGGTATGTTTTACATGAATGTTTTTTTCCCCGTTGGCACACTTTAATTTTTGCTTGACAATATTCTAGCTTTTGCTATTGAAAATTTTCAAAATATTAGTTTTTAAAACTACTATTTCTCACAGGGTAAATTGTATCCCATATCAAAGAGATAAAAATAGAATTTTTCTTGTATTGTTTCCATAATTTGAATGAAAAAGAGATCAATCAAAAATGAATTCAGGCATATAAAGTACAAAAAGACAATGTTTGAGACAAATCGTTGAAGATGAATTTATTAATATAGAGAGTTGTCTCTCTTGGCAGAATGTCCATTTCTACCTAAATGCACTTCAATTAAAAAAAGAAAAAAAAGCCAAATGCAACGTACAGGGGGCTAGATCATTTCTTAGCTCATATAACTTGCTGCTGATTCTAAACAGCATAACAAATGCCACATTAAAGTTAGGCCTGGCCAAATAACATTTCATACTGTTATTTTGACAACTTAACAAAATGATATACACCAAAATAGTCATAGATCTAGCATGTATTTCAAAGCCAAACATTTAAAATAGAAATCACAGCCTCTTTTTCAGGGTATAAATATCCAATGAACATCATGATCAACACAACTGGGCAATGGTCCAAATTTTAAATCTTATTCCTGAGGTAAAAATTAATTTTTTGTCTTTTTACTACTCCTAAAAAATGCTCTAAAATCTAACACTCTCGGGCATCATCACCTGTCTTTATCACCATTGCTGCAACATAAAAGACAGATTTCAAGTTATCAGTGAATTCAGAGAGGACAAAATCATAGTTTATACAGATTTTTCACTTGCAAATTGGGAATCTCTTTTTTTTTGTTTTATATTAATTCAACCAGTGTCTGGTTTTGCTCCTAACATTTTCTTTGAAAGAGCAAAGTGACAGTGACAACTAAAGATGAAAACTTTTCATGAAAAGAAAAGGCAAACCTTCTATGAAACGAAACATGCACAATAGTGACGGTAAAGCCTATGATATCAATTAATGATTTCATTTGCAACCATTAAAATAAAATTGATGATTTTTCAGCATTGGGGAAATCAGTGCAAACAAAGTTGAAGATTGATAAAATAAATTTCTGACATAAATACCAAAACCGACAAACAAGTGTCCTGGTCCATGCATTAGTAAAAGAAAGGCAAACTTTCACTTGTTAGTAAGAAAAAAAGAAGAGCTGTTACCTGTACTTTCCTTAATTTTGATTACAATCCACAAACAATTTTTAAAACAGATAATCAAATTTATATGTGATTTATTTTAAAAAATCCATATATTTGTGATAATTGTAATCAGAAATTAATGAAACTACCAATTAATATTGTTCTGTTCAGAACAGATGAGAAAGTACTAAAACTAATACATTGTGTACATGCAAACATAAATAGATACAAGTCCTTCAGAGTACAGTAATAATCATAAATACTGTGCAAAAAAGCAAACAAAATAACAATATAAATATATTATTAATAACTAATCAATAAATCCTCCTAGTTGTGCATATTTTAAGTGTCAGTGCAAGAGAAATAGATACATGAGTGCTGTGTGCATTGAGGTGGTATAAATCAGAATTGGAGGTTAAGAGCCAACCTTGTCAGCATATCTTCTATTCCCTTTGTAAGACCATCACACCTGTCCAAGAGGGTCTACAATAACAAATGAAGTTTAACAGAATATTTCACAAAAGATTTTAAAAATAAATACCCCAGTATCTATAGGTCATAAAGCTCAAATAAGTTATATTTTCTTCTTCTTCCACCCTGGCTCCAAAGACAATGTATTCTGCAACTTGAAATTGAGTCCAAGACCTAGGCAAAATGTTGATACTCTGTTGTGAATCCACTCTAGTTCCTGTTTAAACTACTTTACTGTGTCATAATTTAAGGGAAAAGGTGATATGTGCCACAATATATCAAAGAAGTACTGGCTAATATGACTTTTCTTTTTGCAGACAGAAAAAAAATTGATAAGAAAAAATTAAAAAGAGCATTTTGCAAACCCTTAAAACTTCGTTGAGAAAAACCCTTTGCAAATAGAATGTATGAATAATCAAAAGCATGCTCCATAATCCCTGAATGCATACATACCTGAATTCTGTCCACCAGACTCTTACGTTTTGCCCTCCCCCCAGTATTGTGTTCATCTAGATTTAAGCTGTCTAAGGCCTCCAGCATTTTCATGTATTGTTCTATCACATGGGCAACTCTCTTCTTACTCTTCTGTAAAGCTGGGGCCTTTAGAGATTCATCCATAAATCCCTGTAAAAAGAATAAGCAGTTTTGAATGCAGTATTTTTGAAGAATGAAAACAATTTTATTTTGCATTTTCACCGTTTCAAACAGGGCACCGCTATATCAGGTATCCATAAATAAATTTACCTAAAAAAATTAATGAATTTATCATATGTTTTCCATCAAGAATTAACAGTTTTGTTATGAATATCAAAACTGAATGTATTGGATAACATAACTTTGAGGGAAGGAAATATGTGTATAAAATAACATTCTTCCATTTTGGGTGAGAATTTCCCCCTACCCTGTGTATTCCGTCCAGATCGTACGTGACATCACTTAATTTTTCTTCCTCCTTCTTTAGAGACTGCTCTATGTTATGTAGTCTCCCCATCTCTTTGTCATCCAGGGGGTCAGGCTAAAATCAGCAAGTCAGAAAATGTGGTTGACAAAGCTGTACTTAATTCATGTTAACAATAGATAAGCAATATGTTCAAATATTCTACTCTCTCTTTAAAGTTAGTACTATTTATATCTCCCAAACATGATAATTAATGCCCTTAATGGTATATATTTCTGAATTTGTAAAACAGAAAATATATATACAGTATATATATGTGTGTTAAGTATTTACTGAAAAACTGAATATCAAATGTGGTTTATTCCTATTATCTGCTTTCATGAAATAATCTTTGATTATCACAAAAAGGAACCTATAAATTATTGTAGACGGGAAACTTTAAAAAATTAATTTAATAGTTTAAAATGAAAGAATGACCCCCTACCCGTTTTCCAAGAAGCATGACTTTTGCATTGTCACTTAATCCAAGGGAGCTCAGATATGCCTCTGGGTCTTTGTTTAAAGTTTTGCCTAGAAACAAAAATTGTTCTTATGAGCAAAAACAGAAACAATGTTTTATATCAAGTAAGAAATATTTGGACTGAAAAATATATGCAAATAAATTCAAATGCATCTTTACTAAGGATTTTATTATCCCCTCACAAGAGTTGGAAGGGATGTAGAATTCTGAAACATATTCATTTAGGTTGGTTAAAAATATTCTGTATATCATGGATCTTTCTTCAAACAAAACAAGAAAATAAAAGAAATTCAAAATATTCTTTCTTTAAATTTTGAACAAAAAATTATTGAACCCTTTTACCTTTATAAAGAATCTTTTGATTGGCTGGTGGAATTTCTGTAACTTCATAGATCTTTTTCACTAGGTCTTTGACTGTCAGTACATTCCCTTGGTCAGCCTCTAACTTAATGTCATAAACCTTGGTGCCTGTAAAAATAAAATCTCATGTCACTATCACTGATTAGTGCCAACAGTCTGAGCATACATATAAATAGAAACCTTTCAAGAATAATATAAAACGAGTCATCATTTACCAGGTCCAGCACAATCTCTAAATTAAGCTATATAGCTTTAAAAAGCTATATAGCTTTATTAAGCTATTCAAAATAGCTTGATAAAGCTATTTATATGCAATTTTTCACAAAAACGTTTTTTGAAAGAAGTAAACAAAAAGTCGCAAATATTTGACTATTCATATATGTACTATGGACTATCAAAAATACGGGTGTTGCTAAAACGCGGAACGGAAAACGGAACGGAAAGCGGAACGGAACGGAAAACGGAATATATTATTTTGGATTAAATCACTTAAAATACACAAATTTTATCATAAACGATATATCTTGTACATACTCAACCCCCACTGTTAAATAAAAGTTGATTTTGTCATGCTCAGTCTCATATACAAAAGTCGCTAACATAGCAGTCACATAGAATCGAATTTGAAAACAGGGGGGGGGGGACGAACTTGAAAAGTGTTTGACAAGCAAAAAACACAAAAAGAAGACAACTGTTTGATTCGGGAGGGGAGATAAAACACAAAAAGAAACAATTGTTTGATTCGGGAGGGGGGATAAGTTCCAACTCCCAACATCTTTCAGTACTATTTTTTACACTAACTTACTACATTTATTATATTCACAAAAAGGGTGAGAATGTGAACTTGAATGAACATTTCCGTAGTAAAAAGGTTATGACTGGGGGGGGGGGGGGGGGGTATTCGATATCTAAATGAACCATGGAAAGAGAAAAAATGTTTTAAAAAATTATTAAGATTACGTTTAGGGCAAACCTTTACGGCAAGCTCGAATAAACATCTCATACACACTGGTTCTTAAAGCCATATGGCGTATGTACAATGAAAATTGTTAGACTAAAATTATATGAACTTATTAATTGTATCATTACTTATATAAAGATAGAACTTTTCCGTAAATTACAAAATCTAAGTCAATTGCATTATAAAGATTTCACAATTTAATTTGGATTCTCGGAATTTTCTCCGACTCGGAAGAAAATACAAAATATTTAAATAACACAATACAGAGAAGATAAAATCGTATTATTAGATAAAACGAGGTGTTCTCCGTGTTCAGAATTGTATGAAAAGTTTTAATTTAAATGTAGTGAGTATATTTCTTTACTTAATTTTGTATTTTCCAAAAATATATTTTATTGATCAGTTATGCCATATATGGCTTTAAAATTTTATTCAAAAATAGAGTCCTTTTGTGAATTGACAAAGTTGTGGTAGATATAATGCAGACTGCAGAATCTTTGCATTCATTGAAGTTAAATTTTGTTTGTATGCAGCACATATGTGTGCACGTTTTTTTTTTGTTTTTTTTTTTTTTGGGGGGGGGGGTATATGAATTACCCCGTAAAAATGAGTTTGTTTTCCCGCTCATCGGAAATGTCTTAGAAGTTGTAGAAATTGACACTGGAAACAAATTGAAAGAGGGGGTGGGGGTCAGAAAAAAATTCCAACATACAATAAATTTGACAAGCAAAAAAAGGGGGATATGTCCTTTGCCCAAACACGAAAATCCCACTTCGTGTGTGTGTGTGGGGGGGGGGATTTCTTTTAGCATTTTTTCCACGGAGGGTGTGTATAACTCATGAATATATAATAGTTTACAATTAATTTTTATTAGAAATGACTTTTACAACAAGAATATTGCTCTTTTATCTGATTTATATTGAATCTATGTTATTTGTTTGACAAAAAAATTTTCCGTTTTCCGTTCCGTTCCGCTTTCCGTTCCGTTTTCCGTTCCGCGTTTTAGCAACACCCCAAAAATACAACCTAAATCATAGAAAGTTCTAACATTGCTGCTGTTGAATACTTTTAAGCAAAATATGAATTTCCATTGTTTGAGTAACTGTGTGTGCAGTGAGGCATGGGTAAGTATGATTGCTTCTCATTGTGCTGAACTGTTACTAATCAATTATCCTGTTGGCCGTAACTGGACTCCTTTATAATTTCATTCAAGAAATAGCTGTGTGGTCACTCATCAATAGCCCCAAAACTTTTCAAACTTTGAGTACAAAGTCTCTCAAGTAGACGCAATTTGGTGAGTGATTTTTACATGCATTGTATTCAGAAGAGTACAAAGTTTAAGATTTCCACTGCACCAAGGTGCGACTTTTTGCACATGTTGAAAAAATAACACATTAGAGAAAAAAGTCTGAGAAAATAGCTTATTAGTTAATCAAGCTATTCTGAATAGCTTAATAAAGCTATATAGCTAAATCAAGCTATATAGCTTAATCAAGAGATTGTGCCGGACCTGTTTACTACATGTACTACAAGTTACAACCTGCAGGGCTCTCGATTCTCTAAATCTAGGGCCGATATTCGGCCCCGTTCCCAATGCAAAAAAGGTACCTTTTTTTCCCAAAAGAAAGGTGTAAATTTCCCAATTCCCATAGCAAAATATTTATTAAAATATAAAAGTCCATGAAACTTAATAGCAGAAAAAAAGCTCAAACAAAACACACTTGCAAATGAAAGTGAAACTGTATGACTGTTTCATTAGTTCAATCCAAATGCATTTGGTAAACTGGTTCGGGGAACCAGGTTATTATTTTTACAAAAATGTGTACTAACTATGAATGCAGAGTATCTTGTCATGTAGTTTTGACAAAAAAAATCACTTTGGTTTCAAAAATAGACATTTCATATAAATATTAGTACCCTGCACCTAGAAACATACCCGCACTTCGGCATGTTCAGTCTTGCGCTGTATTGGTAAGCAAAGTTGTCCATGTGATCGAGGAAATTCGGGACTATGTGACTAGCGACTGTCACTTAGAAAGACAGATAACCAAAACATCAACACTCAAAGATGGTTATGACAAAGCTAATGTACTTTCATAAATAACCTACATACCCATGTTTGTTCTGTTTATCTGTTTATTCAAAACCAGAGTTATATTGATGATAAAATGCTAGGAAAGCAAAATTTGAGGATTTTTTTAATGAATGTTGGTTATCCAACTTTTCCCAAAATGACGATAATTTTCCCAATTTGAACGGCCCCGGCCCCAATCCCCAAAAGTGGTGTGAGAGCCCTGACCTGACTACTTGAAAAAAGTGACTGTGTTAGTTTCATGCTTGACATAATTTCAACCTTTAATAGCTCAAAGTTTAAAAAAAAAAACATGCCTTAAAGTCTATCACTTTTCAACATTGTTCCTACTGAAAATACTTAACAGTTTTAGGTTTACCGAGAAAATTCGGAATGAGTAAACTGACGTACAAAAGCCTGTGAAATAAAATTTTAAAAACCCATACCATGTTTAACATGGAGTTTCATACTCTTTGCTGGTGGTTTTGCGAATGCCATCAATCTGCACCTTTTAAAGCGATCCTTTTATGATGATTTTGTGTGTTTATTTTTCAAGTTTGAAACTTTGTTGTCATTTAGTTTGTTGTTCTTCAAAGTAAAGCAGAAATAACTAGTACAGAAATCTTTTTCCCGGATGCAGGTGCGCAAACGATATTTCCCGGTATTTTATCTGTTCAGTGTGATTCGTGAAATATGACGAAAGAATTAAGGAATTTCTCTTTTTTAATTGTTTATTTCATTTAATTATTGTATAATTTTTTTGTACACATAATGTTAAACAATTACAAATATGTGAAGAGAGAGGAAAAACACGAATCCCTGGAATTATTTAAATTCCAGAGGTTGAATCAGATGCCTAGGAAGAGTAAACATCCCCTGTTGATCGGTCAAATCCGCGTGTGCCCTCTATATATATCAAATTATAAACGGAAATTCCCGTATAAAAAGGCCGCCTAGAAACAAGTCATCATAAACAGGACTTAATGATTGGTTATCTTTGCTAACAATGTACTGACTAAAAATGCCGACTTAAAAGGAGGTTGTTTATACCCCTGTAACATCAACTTCTCAATTAGTAGCATATGTCTTGCTTTAAAAATTGATTGTACTTAGAGCATTAAGCTGCTGAGTAGCGGATTGTAAGTTTAGGGGACATAAACAACATAAACAGGTAATAATGGGATATTACTACATTAAGACGACAGGAAAGCTGAGTTCATCTTGTTTGTCATACTTTATTTGGTGTATAATTATCGTCTATAGTCATTAAACATCCAAATATCCTGAGTAATGAGTGTATGAAACATACTAGTATGTGGGTTGTGGAAGACTCTGTTGTTTCTTCTATTTCAAGTATATCTCTGTATTTTTGACGAGCATAGCATCTTAGTTTCTTTTATCTCACTCAGTGATTCTTCAATCTTCAACCACAAAACTAAGCACATTTATTAATGACTTCACCTCAGTTATTACATCTACATGTATTTGTTTCAATCAATGCTTTAGAAATAAGAATTTAAGAGTACAGAGACTTAAATAATCAACAAACAAAATTTATGTTAGCATAATGGATGAGCAAGAACGATTTTTTCTTACCTATTTTATTGCAAATCAAAATTTAGAGAACCTTAAAACACTTTGCATCAACGCTAAAATTTATTATTATACCTCATTATAAATATTCTATACAACGCATTATCTGATTGGTTCTAGATTGTCACGTGATCGGGCCTTAAAACTTCATATTTCACAGCCGTCGGCACGCTTTTCATCATATTCCACCTCTTCGGAACACCTAGTGTATTTTCCCGCAATATAGTTTTCGTTCGTTAAACGAAAACTCCCGAGAGTAGTAGACGTCACAATAGCCTGGTTTACGTCACAAAATTGATGATAATGTGTTGATCAAAGGGATATATAGTAACTAAATACGTAAGGAATATTATTATATGATTGAATAATTTCCATCTCTCTGATTGGCTGAGATCCAACTATTTTAGAAAAATACTACGTTGTATTGACCTGCACGTGACGTTCCAGGTCAATACAAGGATTTATTTTGCCTACATTGATCTAAAAATACATCCGGATGTTCCAAATTGATACAAATTGATTTGGAAAGCTATTTAAACTACTATAACTTTTTTTCATGTGAAGAAAAGATAAGCGAATATATATTTTTGGGTGAGGGTGGTACGTAGGAGGGGATGCAGGGACACTCCTCCAACACTTTTAATGAACAAAAATTTTAACTTTTTGGCAGTCAGTTTTCCCTGATAATACTCCTTCCTTTAAAAATCTATCCTAGGAAAAAGACTGACATAATTTTTTTTTCATGGCAACTAAAATTGATAAAAAAAAACTTGAAAAAAAATAAATACGACCTGTCAGGTTGATTAATAACATTTTAATTCTGTTTCTCTCTTCATTGTATTTGGATAGGACTTAATTAAATGCAAACAAGTAATAGGTTTTATCATTTTATTAGTGAATCATATAATAAAACAATTATTGCTGTTTTTTCGGTCAATACAATGATTTAGCCATCTTCGAAGTATAATATTCACCTCGCCCTCCGGGCTCGGTGAATATTGTACTCCTCAGATGGCTAAATCATTGTATTGACCTCAAAACATAGCAATAATTGTATAAAAGTGAATTTGAGAGCGTTGCCGAATTTGAAAGTTTATGTTTATTTCAAAGGTTTTGCTTGTTTCGGTATAATAAACAATTCATTGCATGAATGTTCGGGAAACATGAAGACTTATTCAGCCAAAAAATATATTCCCCTCGGGCGAAGCCCTCGGGGAATATGATTTTTCTTGGCTGAATAAGTCTTCATATTTCCCTCACTATCATGCAATAAATGTATAAACTTGTATCGAAACCGTGAACACAATATAGACAAACAAGTCACATGTGAATGTTCCCAGCAGACAGTAAATACTTAAAATACTAGTTAAAGTATCACTAGTTAAACCAGCTAGAGCAGGAAGTTCATGAGTATAGACGCCATGTCACAAGGTAATTATTCAGTTAGTCTTCATACATGTATAACTGAGGGGAAAATAACAAACAATTTCAGAGAATTTACGGCAAAGCGGAACTTTTTATTATTTTTCAAAATTGTCTTTAGCTGGTACCAACATAATATAAAATTAAACGATTATTGTTTTTCTTATGACAAGGTTCCCAACACACGACAAGCATGTTTTTTTGTGACTCAAAAAGGAACTAGGCGATAGGATTTCTACAAAGGCCCTGTCGCCAGTGTAATGCTATGATACCGAGTCTTTGAACGTGCATGATCGAAGCATCAGCATAATTTTGGTATTGTATTAGTGATTGCAAAAACAATGGAGAATAACCAAAAATAGTAACTGCATTTCAAAATAAATTCCATCTTTTTCAGGCATATCCCAAAAATAATATGGAAGCTGGAAAACATTCCCAGGACGTCGTAAGATGTGATCTTTGCAGGAAACACATAGTTCAGATGTTCTGTTCTCCATGTCTCACAAACCTCTGTAAAAAGTGCGTCGGGGAGCACCTTTCTGACAATTCAAAAAAACATGATATAGTAGCTTTTGATTTAAGAAAATCAAAATTCAATTTCCCCCGGTGTAATACTCACGACGAGGAGCAATGTGAAATGTACTGTGAGGAATGCAAAACTCCTGTTTGTCCACAATGTGTCACATCCATGAAACACAAGAGACATTGTTTCAGACATATACAGGAGATGCATAACTCAAAGAAAGAATTTCTGGAAAAGGAAGTAAGCAGAATTAGGAATAGTATTTATCCAAAGTATAAAGATGCCTCAATTGATTTAAGAACCAATTTATATGGCCTAAATAAGGAATATGAAAAACTTGAAAGCGCTGTAACAAAACAAGGAGAAAAATGGCACAAAGAAATTGAGATGGTTGTTGAAGCATTGAAAAAGGAAATCATTCAAGAGAAACAAAAACACTCAGATATCATGCTAAGGAATTTAAGCTTTATCAAAAGATCAATTTCAAATATTGAAATTACTTTATCTCAAATCAAGGAAATTCTGAAATCAAATGACGTATTCAAATGTTTGTCTTTTGAAATATGTACTGAGGAATTCAAAAAAGATCCACCGTGGGTTGACGTTAAGTTTCCGGCGTTTGTTTCACAAAGTTCTCCGAGACAGCTCTCCAAATTGTTTGGTTTTCTGACACCAATCTCCATAACACATAGAGAGCGAGGTTACAGTAGGAAGGCACCAGAAACTGCATCCTCTCCGCCACTGAAACAGCTGCTCCTTGAACCAACTCTCATAACCAGCATATATACTGGATACATATCGCTAAACAATGTTACCTGCCGAAATGACGAGGAAATCTGGATAGGAAACCTGACCAATGAAATAAAATGCATTAATGTTAGTGGTTCATTGCTGAACACCATTTCCACAAAATCAGGTAAAAGTGCCATGGATCTTGCCATAACAAATACAAACGATCTTTTCTATACCGATTCAACTACCAGAACTGTTAATGTTGTGAGGAATAATGGTAAAACAGAGGAATTGATCCAACTTCAGGATTGGGTTCCTCAAAATCTGTGTGCTACCTTTTCTGGCGACATCTTGGTTACCATGTACAGTGTTAATACAACACAATGCAAACTTGTCCGTTACTCTGGTTCCTCAGAAAAACAAACGGTTCAATTTGATGATCAGGGCAATCCTCTGTATTCCGTGAATTCCGCTAATATGGTTAAACACGTTAGCGAGAACAGAAATCTGGATATCTGCGTTGCTGATTGCGGTGCTGGGGCAGTAGTGGTGGTCAATCAGTCAGGGAAATCGAGATTCATATACAGGGGGCAGGCATCCATTGCCAGAAAGAACCCTTTCAAGCCACATGGAATCACGACAGACAGCCAGGGTCAGATCCTGACAGCAGACACTGACAACCATCGTATACACATATTAGACCAGAATGGCCAGTTTCTGTGTTACATAGATAACTGTGATTTATGTCATCCATATGGTATATGTGTTGACAAAGATGACAATCTGTTTGTGGCTCAATTTACAAGTGGGAAAATTAAGAAAATTGAATACATGAAGTAGTTATAACGATAGATTATTCATACGATTTTCTAGTCTGTTTTTTTTTACACTGCACTTAAGTTGAAGTCTCAAGTGACCTTTTCTGATCGAAAATGTCCAGTCCCAGCGCTTGTCTTTCTTCAGTAGTGGAGTCCATAAATTTTTTCATATTTTTGACTTCTCATCTAGGACCAATAGGCTAAACAAGAATTCTCACTTGTCACACAGCACCCTTCTGTTAAGGGGATTCATGCTTGTTCAAATGAATGAAAATTGGTGAATTTAGAAGAAATGGCGGAATCATATAAAGAAAAGAAAAAATCTGAACCAAAATTAAGAAAATTATGAAAAAGCTCTTTGACAGTTTTGTTTCAAGTTTGTTCGAATGGAGGCCCCCATGGACATGGCGGGCCCACATCAAAGCAACAGTATTTTGCATTGGGATGTGCTACCAATATAACTCATTGAAAGGTTACTACGTACTAGTATATTTACAAAAATGGATGACCAAAGAAATAACAAATTAAAATGCTTATTTTAAACAGGGTAATTGAAATCTCTGTAAAATTAAATTATTTGTTAGAAGCCTGGCGGCTCGGTTTATACTCCCTATCAAGAACATGCTATTGAGTATCGAATATGGTGGAAAACGTAAACATAGTGTGCAGGTGATAGCTGAATACAGTGTACTGTAAACCAACTTTTATTCGCGTGCGATAAATTTTCGCGAGGTTCACGAAAGCCCAGTCATCGCGAATATTTCTCGACGCGAACCGGTCTTTAAAATCTATGTGCCTCATAACATAACAACAGATCCAAAATAGGCTTGATCGCGAAATAAAGTCGTCGCGAATAAAAGTTGGTTTACAATATTTGCTACACACTTAAGGAAAGTATATCTATAGACAACAACAAGTGTTTTTTACTCCTAAAAAGTTTTTGAATGAAGTCTGCTTCACAGAAATATAAAATCAGACTGGCTTATAAAGGAGAGCAAATGGTGCCCATACGAATTCCAGCAGTCCAAAGATTGACGTAGATAGCACATATCGATATTGTCAATGTGGAACTCCAGCACCCTTTCTAAATAAACTTCAGATAACTTGTGTATAGAAGCAGAGATTTTTAACAAAGTAATTTGTTGATGGCCAATCACAAGATGCGGCTTTTTTTTTTTTATCGACCCCCCCCCCCCCCCCCCCCCCCCCCCCCCCCCAAAGTGTCTATGATATGAAAAAGCCTAAAACGATTGTCATTCCAGGAAATATTTTTTCTCTAATTTGCCTTTTTTGCAAGTTTTTGTTTAACGGAACTTTTTCGCCTATTTTCGAAAAAGGTTTTTTTTACATGTATATTTGTTTTGAATATCTCTGCATTTTCAGAAATAGTGTAAATTTTAGGTATGACTGTTTCGTCTTTTTCTACAAATGAACAGAATTGAATCTGAATTTGGAAACTGGTTGAACATTCATTTGGAGCCTGGGTGCAATCCTTATCCAGCATGCATTTCTTGTTTTAAGGCTTATGAATCGAAGGCATGATAAGATATTTTATACTGAGGATTTTTTAAATTCAGCACCTCATGAAAATAATTCTTGTGCGAAAAGAAAAAGCAATATCTTCATGAAACGGGAATACTGAAGTTATTTACTTAGCGGTGGCTTTTTTTTTTTTATCTATTTTCAAAAGTATCATAGAAATTGTTAAGATTTTTGGTTTAATTGCTAGTACAATTTTAAACTAGAACCGTTCTCTCCAGTATCATTGAATAATTTCAATCAACAATTGCATAAAGTCCCTTACAGTCTAAACTTTCAATCAAAAGAAAAAGACATAAAAATGAAGTGTCTCAATAAATGAATTAGAGTAGACAATCGTACATTTGAACGACTCCGCCATTTTCACTTCATCCAAATACGTCACAACCGGTGCGGATATACAACAGTGTTCACACCCAAAAGTTTTTCTCTGATCCTCTTACCATCTTACTACACAACAGTTTTTCCATCATAGATCACTCACCAAATTCTTTCCAAATCAACACTGGGACAAATCTGTGGACTTTTTTTTTTTTTTTTTTTTTTTTTTAGATCATTTGTATTTCAATAGGAAACTTAACAGTTATAGGAAGGCAAACCATTACAAAACTTTACTTATTCATAAATAACCACATTTAATGCTTCTATAAACATTGCATGCTATTTCATCGACCATCTTTTCTCCGGTTTGCCTTTAATGAACTATCCGAAAAATGTCTGTAAAAAGTCATTTACAAACATGTATAAGTTAAATTAATTAAACAAAATGTGTATTTTAATGAATAAAGTAAAAAAAATGTTTATAGCTGGCCTGAAAAAGTTGTCAGTGAAATTTTCCAGATTAAGGAAATTGTACTTAAAAATTAAACTGGTTGAACGTGTGTTCAAACTCCACACCTGATATCGATTAATCTATTATATTGCACTTAAGCCTGCATGGAATTTAAACAAAAAACTAGGAAGAGAACATGTGCAGTTCTTAGAAAGGAATACCCAATTTGCAGTACAACTTTCAGTGTGGTGTTTTTTCTCAGCTTCTTATTTCACAACATCTGGTAAGATATTTTAATTTATATATTATAAAAATGGAAATGACTCACAAAGAACTACTGAAATCGAAAAGTAAATTACATACTATTTTATCTGGGAGTCAATGACTCAGAATACAATACAAATGACAAGAAAAAGTACATGTATACAAATTAAACAAAACTCATTTATTTTTTCTAATCGCACTTTCTTTCTTATACAGAAACATAAACATTTGGTTACAAGCATAAATAAAAGATCAAATTTTATAATTTCTTACAACAGTTGTGAAGAATAGATCATGGAAAAGTCTGCTCCAGCAACCAGCGACAACATATACGTCACCATTGGGAAAGTAAAAGTTCGAGTCATTAAGGGGGACATAACAGACCAACATCCTTACCCTCACCATCATCATCATCATGAACAACAACAATAACAAATCATCATCATCAACAACAAATCATCATCAAATACAACAACTAATGTCGAATGATCTGTTTTTAAAGGTTGACGTCATTGTAAATAGTAATGGACCTGACCTTGACCTGAGTAAAAGATTAGAGCCTCTAATGCTTTGCTCTCGGCTGCTGGGAACAGCATTCAAGCGGAGTGTGAACAGGACTACTAGTATCCAAACGGGATTCAGGACGGAGAAATTGCCATTACCTCTGGAGGAAATTTATCCTGTAATGCCATTTACCACGGAGCCCTGTCAAAATACTCATCAACACAAGATGAGCAGGTATTGTATGCTAAAACACATTAATGGAAAAACCGAATCTCTATAAATTCAAACCCGAAAACAGAAGAAAAGTAAAATTCTGAAAAGAAATTAACGTCCAGACCCTTCTAAAACAACAATTGAAAAGCCAATCAAGTTTCTGGCAAATTTAAATTTGAAAACTTTGGAAAAGCGAAAATCTGAAAGAGGTTATTGTCTTATCTGTTCTATTTGTTCTAATATCAAACTCTTAAAATGCTTTATCTAATAATTACACTTGAAAGCCAAAGGTCTCAAAATTTAAAACTAAAAACTGAAGAGAAGCAAAAATATGACACCAAATTAATGTTACAGTTGCTCGAAATTTTTCTTCTTTCAGACTCTCGAAAAACCTATCAATGCCTGTTTGGATCTGGCGAATACAAATGTATACCAGACGATGGCGATTCCCGCCCTTGGTACTGGGTTTCTTTCCTTTCCAGTCCCCACTGTGGCTAGGATCATGTTTGACTGCATACAAAACTTTTCACCCTAATCCTTAGATGAGATTCGGATCGTTATATGTGCAACAGAAAATGATACTTTCAAGGTAATACTCTTTCTTTAAACGACTGCATAAAAATAAAGTGTTTGTAACTCAGTCTGATGCGTAAAGAAAGTCGATTGCAGGAATAAACCAAATATTACTTTCGGTTTTCATTTAAGCAATTCAAAATAAAAAGAATGTTTAAAAACAAAACTCATGCAAACATGTAAAAACCCTTAGCATTCTGTGCATTGTATATATTCGATATTAACTTCATATGTTTTGTTTTGTAATTCAAATAGAATTTTTGACGGAAGCGAAGAAGTTTCTTCATAAAGATGAATTTATACATTGATTATTACTAGTATACTAAGAAGATCTAATTTGGACTTTTATTTTAAAAGCACAACTGATTTTTGGGGCATCGTGTATGTTTGTTTTAGTTCTTTATTTTAACTTGATATTAAGATAGATGTTGTTATTTAGACATATTTTGAACGATTAAACAGTAAGATTCCAAACTTACATAAAAGAGCGACGATTTGTACTCTATTTATTATAGGTAAATGAGGTCAAAGAAGACCGATGTCCAACAGTCATTAAAAAGGGAAAATGACTGTTGAAGTAGTGGTGGACACACTGAGTTCTATTCAAGTACACACTGGGATTTACTTAATTAGCCAAGTTTTTGCAATGTCTTAAATAATTATATTTACTCTTTTAATTGCCTACTGTGCTGAAGAAAAAGCTCCGACTCAGTTTTTGTAGCTTCAGTGCAATATGAATGTTTTTTTTTCATCTAGACCACATTGTCTAAATCAAAATGCCATGTTTAAAAAATCTGTTTTAATATGCCAGAACATCCTGATTAATAACTTACTCTAGCCTATTGTTATTGTTTCATCTTCGGGATTGCTAGTTAAACCAAGTACATTAAAAAATCATTTATAAGTATATTTAAAATTATAGGGTGATGTTTTAGTGACCTTTTCTGCAGGTCTAAGAATGTCCAGTGCTTGTCTTTCTTCTAGAATAACGTAAAATCAAATTAAACAGGTATTGGGCTATTAAAAAAAATTCACTTGTCACAAAGCACCATTGTGTTAAGGGGATTCAAACTTGTTCAAACGAAGGAATATTTAGGAAATTAGAAGAATTGGCTGAGTCATTTAAAGAAAAGAAAAAATCTGAGCCAAAAATGAAGATAATTTTGAAAAAAGCTCTTTGACATCTGTTTCAAGTTTGTTCGAATTGAGGCCCCAATGGACATGGCGGGGCCACCACAGAGGGAAAAACCCCCAAAATTGGTATGAAATACGTCCGCCAAAATACAATTCAGTGATAGATTTCTGCTGACAAGTATATTTACCAAAAAGGATGATCCAAAAAATTACAAAATGCCTGTAACATCAATTAATCTGTCAGAAGTCTGGCTCGGTTTAAAAATTAAACACTATCCAGATCATGCTATTGAGTATCGAATACACTGGAAAACGTAAACATCGCGTGCAGGTGATAACTGAATACTTGCCACATACTTAATGAAATTAATATTCAAATATTTGAAGCAGTACATGCTTACATCGCAGCAACCAAACATTTTACATGCATTTGACACTGTCATGTATGTTATTTCTGCCAACATTTTCTAACATGTATTACATTGTGACTATTTTCTACTTTTTTTCTAGTCTTGTTTTTTTTACTACGTTTGTGTATTTAGTTTCATACTTATATTTAGTGTGTGTTCACCTTGACCTTGTAGGGAGAGGGCTAAAATAGACTTTACCTGCTGCCCAATCCCATTCACTTTTATTTGTGAATAACATTTTGTATAAATAAAAATATAGATAAATGAATATTGACGAAAAACATGATGGAAATACTGAAGTCATCTTGTTTGTCATACAATTTAGTTGACAACTGAATTGACGACGAATTTATCGTTATAACAAGAAGCACACGACAGGTATGAACGGTCGACATGGGGTGCTCACTCCTCCATGGCACCAGATTCCACCTCTGATGGTTTGGAGCTCTGTGTTTGCTCTGCTCCTATTTTGTATTGTTTATGGGTTTTTGATCTTGAATACTGTTCGTTATCTCCACATGTTTCATCAGATGGCCCTTATCGTTTTATTCAGTTCAACATCCAAATTTAAAACAGATTTGGCAGTTTGTGGTTTAGTGATATCTTTTTTTCAAGTTCACAGGGAAATATCGAGTCGACGTATGAGTAATTATTGCTGATCGATAAAAAGTTAGTATATCTTAAGACCACAGCAAATGTTTTCTTCTCATAAGAAGTTCGAGAATAAAGTCTGCTTCACAGGAATATAAAACGGGTCTTTTTCGTGCCAACACCTACTGCGACACGGGGCCTCGGTTTATACTGTCTCATCCGAAGGACCGGTTTCCACGTCCCGCAGTGGGATTCGAACCCGCGACGTAAGGATTGACTGATAGACGTAGATATATAGAACATAGATATTGTCAATGAGGAACTCAAACATTTTATATTGACTTCAGATCTAGAGAACTTGTGTGTAGAAGCAGATATTTTTAAAAAGCCAGTTGTCTATGATATGAAAAAGCCTAAAATGGTTGTGATTCCATGGAATATTTTTTCTTTTATTTGTCCTTTTGAAATTTAATTTTTTGCTTAACGGAACACTTTTGTCTTTTTCCTAAAGGTTCTTTACATGTATACTTGTTTTGAATATCTTTGCATTTTCAGAAACAGTGTAAATTTTATGTATGACTGTTTTGTCTTTTTCTACAAATGGATGAAACTGAATCTGGATTTGAAAACTGGTTGAATATACATTTATAGCCTTGGTGCAATATTTATCCAACATGCATTAAGTATATTACCTATCGATGGCTTTTTCATTTATTTATTTATTTTCAAATATTTACATTTCCTTTTCCTTTGTTCGAGATAAAATTACAAAGAATACTTTATTTCTACATAAATCTACTGGTTCATCAACTGGCGCGGTTAAAAAAAAATCACGTGCTTCGGAGCTTGTAGCACTTCAATTTGAATCAAAAGCAGGTAGATGTAAGAAATAAATGTCAAATTTTTAAACTTTTATTTTAAACTATATAGTAGCGATCTCTCCAGTGTCAATGAAATTATTTCAATCAACAATTGCAAACAGATGGTCTTTACTGTCAATCAAAAATGCAAAAAGACACAATAATGAAGTTTTCAATAAAATTATTCGGAGTACACAATTTTACCTTTGACTCTACCATTACACTCTACTATTTTCACATCATCCAAATATGTCACAATTAACCAGTGCGGATATACAACAGTGTTCACACCCAAAAGTTTTTCTTTCATTCTCTTTCCATCTTACCACACAACCGTCTTTCCATCATAAATGACTCATTCTTTCCAAAATCATCACTGGGAAAATTCTGTAGATTTTTCCACATCAATCGTATTTCCATAGGAGACTAAACAGTTATAACAAGGAAAACCATACGAAAACTTTACTTATTCATAAATGACCACAAAATGTTATTTTCAATTTTTTTGACAAAAGTTTGTTTGTATCATCTGTCCTTCATGCTTCTATTAACATTGAATGCTCTTACATCGACCATCTGTTTACCGTTTTGCCTTCAATGGACTATCCAATAAATGTCTGTAAACAGTCATTAACAAAATGTTTAAGTTAAATTAATTTTAAAAAATATGTATTTTAATAAATAAAGTTAAAAACTTCACAGCTTCCCTAGAATAAAAAAAAGTTGTCTCTGAAATTTTCCAGATTAAGGAAAATGTTATTTAAAAATTAAACTGTTTAAACGGGTATGGTTGAACGGGTACGTGTTAAAACTCCACACTTGATATATCGATTTATCTATATTGCACTTTAGCCTACAGGGGCTTTAAATGAGGACTAGGAAGAGAACATGCGCAGTTCTTAGAAAGGAATACCCGATTTGCGGTACTACTTTCAGTTTGGTGTTTGGTTTTTATCTTATTTACATCAGAATTGGTAAGATATTTTAATTTCTTTATAATGAAAATTGCAAATAAATCACAAAAAACTAATTTGATTAATTAATCTTAATTTGAAAAGTCAATTCCACACTTTTATATATTTTGAAAGTCAATGACTCCGAAATACAATACAAATGGCAAGAAAGCGAGCATAAAAATTCAATTATTAAGTATGTTTTAAAAATATTCAAGGAAATGTGTAATGTAAATTTTTCCAGATATGAACAAACTATTAATAATTTATTATAATCATAATTCAAGTAAATCACACTTTCTTTTCTTTTGTTTTTGTTTCACATTTTCCTACCGAGTTTATATACACACACACACCCTCACCTTCACATAGTTGGTTGGTTACAAACTTAAATAATTCAAGATATGTTTTATAATTTCTTTAAACAGTAATAAAGAAAAGATAATAGACATGTCTGCTGAAGCTGACAGCGATAACAAAAACTTTGTTACCGATAACAAATTCGTTACCGTTGGGAAAGTAAAAGTTCGAGTCATTCAAGGGGATATAACAGACCAACAGGTAAATATACATCTTTCTTACCCTCACCAGCAACATTAGTTCATCATAATCATCATCATCATCAACAACATAATCATTAAGAACATCTTTATCAACATCATCATCATTAACAACAACATCGTTATTATTAATCATCAATAACATCATCATCATCAACAATATCATCATCATTAACAAGAATATCATCATCATTAACAACATCATCATCAACAACAAAAACAAAATTGACCAATAATGTTATTTCATGAATGTGTATTTTAAGGTCGACGTCATTGTAAATAGTAATGGATCTGACCTTGACCTAAGTAAAGGTAAAGCCTCCAGTGCTCTGTTATCGGCTGCTGGGAACAGCATTCAGAACAGAACTATCCTAATGGAATACTGGACGGAGAAATTGCCATAACCTCTGGAGGACAGTTATCCTGTGATGCTATTTACCATGGGGCCCTGTCAAAGTACTCTTCATCACAAGATGAACAGGTATTGTATGCTAAAACTGAATCTCTATAAATCCAAGGCTGAAAACAGAAGAAAAGGAAAATTCGGAAAAGAAATCAATGTTCAGACATTTGAAAAACATAATTTGAAAAGCCAATTAAGATTCTCCTATTTTATATTAAAAAAAAAACTATAGAAAAGCAAAAATCTGAAAGAGGTTATTGTTTATCTGTATTATTTGTTCTAATATCAGACTCTTAAAATGGTTTATCTAAAAATTATGTTTAAAAGCCAAATGTCTCCAACTTTAAAAACTGAAGAAAAGCAAAATATATGAAACCAAAGTAATGCTTCAACCTTACTGTAATTTTTTTTTCTGATTTCAGACCCTCGAAAAACTTATCAATGCTTGTTTGGATCAGGCGAATACAGATGGATACCAGACGATGGCGATTCCCGCCCTTGGTACTGGGTTTCTTTCCTTTCCAGTTACCACTGTGGCTAGGATCATGTTTGACTGCATACAAAACTTTACACCCCAATTCTTAGATGAGATTCGGATCGTTATATATACAACAGAAAAGGATACTTTCAAGGTAATAATCTTTGTTTAAACGACTGCGTATAGATAAAGTGTCTGTAACTCAATCTGATACGTAAAGAAAGTCGATTATAGAAATAAAATAAATATTACTTTCGGTTTTTATTGAAATTATTTAGAAGCAAATTAGAATAAAATAATTTTTTTAAAAACAAAAAAAAATCATGCAAGAATGTAAAAACCATCAGTATTCTGTGCATGCATCGTATATATTTAAATATTAACTTCATATGTTTGTTTTTTTTTATTCAAATAGAAATTTTTGACGGAAGCGAAGAAGTTTGTTCACAAAGGTAAATTTATGCATCGCTCTATTACTCTAAAAAGATGTGATTTGGAATTTTAGTTTAAAAACAAAACTGATATTTGGTCACGTGTTTTGTTCTTTATTTTAATTCAATATAGATGTTGTTCATTATACATTTTTTGAACGATTAAACAATTTGACTCCAAACTAAAAAAAAAAACAGCAACGATTTGTATTTATTTATTATAGGTAAAGGAGGTCAAACAAGACCAATGTCTAATAGTCATAAAATAGGGAAAATGACCATTGAAGTTGTGGTGGACACACTGAGTTCTATTCAAGTACGCACTAGGATTTACTTAATTAGCCAAGTTTTTCTAATTTCTTAAATCAGTTAAATGATTACACATTAGATTTTGTTTTACTCTTTCAATTGCCTACTGTGCTGAAGATTTCTCTCTGACTAAATTTTTGTAGCTTTAGCGAATAAAAATTTTGAGAGGACTATCAGAGTTTTTTGCAACTTGTGTCCAATCCCTTTGACATTTTGTCAATAAAATATATTAAAAATCATTTTGAAAAATTTAAGTTTTATGATTTTTTTTCATCTAGGTCATATTGTCCAAATCAAAGATGCCATGTTTAAAAAAAAGTATTTTAATATGCCAGAAATCTTTAAAAGATAACTGATCTAGTCTAATCCTAAAGATTGCTAAACCTAAGTATCCATTGAATATTATAGGCAGATGTTTTAGTATGTAGTGGACCAAAAGACTTAAAGCTAAATAATGGTGGCTTATCACAATCACTGCTAGATGTGGCTGGAGAAGAAATGCAAAAAGAACTCGACGACAATTTTCCAAATGGCATCGACTATGGTGAATGTGCTGTGAGCAAAGGTTATAAACTGGATTGCAATTATGTTTATCACGGTGCCTTACCGAAATGGGGATCCAACTCACCAGATCCCTCATACGTAAATAATAAAGTTTTGTTTTGTTTCTGTGCTGTTATATTTTTTTTTCTAATTTTATTGTCAGGTATGTTTTTTTTTTACATCTATCATATATTAAGTTTTTTAAAATTTGTTTTCACTTAGATCCTTAAGAAATTTATGTCAGATTGTTTAGAAGAAGCAAACAAACATTCAACAAAATCAATAGCGTTTCCGACCCTTGGTCTTGGATCACTACATTTCCCTGTGGATCAGACAGCTAAGCTAATGGTGCAATGTATCCGTGACTTTAATATGACACATCGTCAGATAAGCATAAAGATTGAGAAAGTTATCATTGTTGTGTACGGCAACGAAAAGAATTGGTCACAAGCACAATCTGTAAGTACATATAATCAATAATATATCAGAAAATTAGTCTGCTGTACTATGCTACTATAACTCGTTTAAATGATGAAGGGTGAATATTACAGGCAATATTTGTACACGAAGGTTTATTAAAAGGTTCAAAAGTTATTGAATGTCTTTTGCAGAAAATACTTCAGGAACTGAAAGGCCAGACGTTTGGTAAGTAAATGTATAATTCTTTGATTTGCCTAATTTAAAGTATTTTAAATTTATACATGTATATGAATTTTATATTTAATGTTTTTATTCTTTACCACAGCTGCAACTGTTACAAAGACTGTATACTCTAGTAAAATTGACAGCGTTTCGGTGAATGTCAAAGTTGGAAATCTCACGGAAGAAAAGGCAAGTTTTCTTTCGTCAAACGAAATATGATGATAAATGAACTTGATAGGTTATTTATTTGGTTCTTTGGTATTTTAGGTAGATGTCATTGTGAATAGTGTCACTCCAGATCTAAGAATGGGGGCGGGTACTGCTGCAGCTGTAGCCACAGCAGGCGGTGCCGGGCTGACCAACGAACTTGCCCAGAATTACCCAAATGGAATTCAACATGGCGAAATTGCTGTCACTGCCGCCCATGATATATCCTCAGTCAAAGAAATATATCATGGCGCTCTGCTGCCGTGGTATTCAAAACGGTCAGGATCAACAAAGCCTCCGGCTGAGGTAGCGAAGTTATAACTGGAGAAAAAATTTCAGGACATTCTTTTCGATTTTCTAGTCTTTCTAGAGACTAGAAAATAAACAATTTTCTAGTCTCATATATTTACATTTATTGTTATCTTAAAAACAAGAAAATAAGTTAAATATATTTGATCTTTGTTCGATATTTTATCTTTGTTGATATGGGTATAAATAGTTGCGACTATACCAAACACATTACATAACTCGAGTTCTGAACATTTAAAATTTATTATTAGAAAATTCATGTATGTCATCATAGTTATTGAATTTTATTTTTTAGCTTTTGGAGGAATTTGTTATGGATTGTCTACAGAAAGCCAACTCTTCAGGACATAAATCGATAGCTTTTCCTGCCCTCGGAACCGGATATCATAAAATCCCAGCAGATATTGCAGCTTCCAGTATGATTTCAGCATTTGAGAAATTTTGCAACAAAACTCCAAAGAAAACTATTTCCGATATTCAAGTGGTGTTATTTGGAGGTTCTAGTGATCTTCAATATTTGGAAAAGGTTTAGTCTTGATTATTTTTTTTTAGTGTTGTACCCTTGCTTCCTGATTAAGAGTAACTGTACTAAAATGCAGTAAATTGTGACTTAAACAGTGCAAATCAATGGATCATATTTCATAAAATTTTCAAAATAAACTAAAAAGCAAAGTTCAAAGAGCAAAGTTCAAAGAAAACTTTTTTCAATTATTAACTTATGTTTTTTAATGAAACTCCACAGGCCTTCCAGAGTGAATTGAGTCATATGACAACCGAATTGTCAACAGAATCTGGAGCAAATGGAGGAAGGGGTAATTATGCACACGCTTATAAATAAATTGTATATTGCATAATCTGAAAGAAAATTAAAACACCACCATTTTTTTTTTGCTTTTATTTTTCTTTATTTATAAGATAATATAGCGGACGAAAATAAAAAGAATTTTAAAAAATTCAATGAATTTGATTCATGGCCGGTGATTTTTCAGCACACAGAAATCACCACAGACATATCCAAAGACGAGGTCTTAAAGTGATGCCACAACGTGGAACAAAGAATTATCTGATCTGGAAATACCAAGAGGAGGCTCGTACTCCAGCTTACTGGACAAAATTTACCAACAAAAAGAAACTCAAAGAGTGGAATTTAGCTGTGAAATCCGGAGCAACACATTTAGAAAACGTAGATCAAAACACGTTCCAAAGCATAGAAAAAGCTTTTAAAAGTACATTAGGTAATAAACAAATAGTCAGCATTCAAAGAATCGAAAATGTGGAACTTTTTTCGAAATACTCGGATGAATGTCAAAGACTATTTAGAAAAGCAATAGCTGAAGGAAACTTTGTTCCATTGGACAAGGTTAATGGTTCAAGTGGCCCGGCAAAGACAATGGGTCATTTGGACTCTGTAATGATAAATCACACACATCACGAAATCAACGAGTATTACTTCTTTCATGGAACACAACCGGGCTGTGTTTCAGTTATCACTGGTCAAGGACTGGACAACAGATTAGCTTACTCAGGAGGATTACTTGGAACAGGTGTTTATGGTGCAGAAGATTCAGCAAAATCCGATGGATATACAGGTACTTAGTAAAATGAAAAAGTCAAGTAAAGATGTCAAGATAACTTGAACATTTTAATACAAAAAATATGTTTAATAAATTGCGAATTTCTTTGAGTAAAATTGTTATAAAATATTTCAAGGTAGGATCTTTGCACCTTGTTCTATAAAATGTTATTCTGGATAATTTGAAATAAAAGAACTAGATATTATAAGACATACTAATTATGATAATTATCATTATATTACTAATTATGAATATGATCGTTTTAGGAGTTGATACAAATGGAAGTCGTCCAATGTTTCTGATGAGAATGTGTCTTGGTGATATATACATGACAACTAAAACTGGTAGTTTTAAGAGGCCACCTTGTAAGAAGTGTGGTCAGATGGTATGTACCAGTCACCAGGAAATATATGACAGTGTTGTGGCAAGCTTCGCGTACCGTGAGTTTGTTGTATATGACAGATGCCAGTCCTACCCTGAGTACCTTATTTGGTATAGATAATCTATTGAACAAGAAATTGTGATAAATATTAATGTGTTGATATAAAGAGTGATAAATTTGACTGTGATAATAAATTGTGTGCTTGTAACTTGTAATCATTCGTGTGTTATGATTTTAAGTAAAAAACATAATTACAAAATACCAAAACTTTTGTTTTCCATTTCCACTTTTGAGAAAATATTGACAAATGTTTTATGAAAAAAATATCATTTTATGGACGGTATATTTACACTACATTTATAAGCCCTTGTAATTTTAGCGGAAACCAGCTTTTGAGCACTTCAAATTAAGAAAAAGCTCCTTAGTTTCCAGAAGTGATTTTCGTTTGTAAATTAACTCTAAAGTGGGACAGAGGGATATTCCTGCACTGCATGTGATAGATATAGGAATTGATTTCCTTTCAGCCAGTGTTACATCACGGAATTCAATTTAGATTGTGGGTTTTTTGTATTCAATTACATCTAGCTTTTTTACATATCTTTCATCAACTTTCATGCACTTTGTTAATGCGCATTGTGTAATGTTGGTATATGTATATAACACTATACATTATAGAATACAATACTAGCAACATTTTATGTGATTAATACGGATTTGCAGAAAAATGCTTATATGGGATGTAATAAAAATACTGAACAGATATTAGGAACATTTGTATCATACCCGTTTTTCTTTTTATATATTTACTATGGTTTATTTCAAGAGGGAAAAACGAACTTTCTTTGTATTTTCTGTACAACATTTTTTCGCAATCTGCTGATAAAAGTTGAAGTATTACATTTTGAAAATATACATATCTCAATATCATATGGTTAAGAATGTTCCCTTCATTTGATATTACATGTGTTATAATTTTGAAGCAAACATTTGTGGTTTTTCATAACTCTATTGATGAACTTCCGAATGAAAGAAAAATAACAATTGGATCCTTTTCCTGACTCGTGTTTTTTGGGACCGATTTGTAAAAAAAAAGTTATTTTCAAATTTCATTTTTGTTCAATTTTTCTAGGTCGATTTGATCAATTTGGATTCTGAAAAAAAAACTTCCTGTAGCTATCAAAAAAGCTCTGGAAAAAAATATATAAACTTGTAAATATCAGCTTGAGTAATGTTACTTTCGGTTTGGCTTTGGTTCGACAGCAGGACTTTTAAAGTGTATAACAGGTAAGATTTTACATGCTTTGAAAATGAAAAAAAAAATTTAGTTTTAAAAATTGACATTTAAAGTTAATTTAAATAGAGTAACCTAAAAAAAATCAAGGGGAATTATTACAGATGGTCTCTTTGGGTTTAACATTTGGGTTGGAGTTCGCGTGGTAAAATACTTGTATTCAACTCAAATTATACGACATGTTTGAAAATTTATTCAGATTATTCAAATTCAGAGTGAGTAGAGAGTAATAATTTTTTTAAAAGTAAAGATTATTAAGCATATGCATTGATTGTATAAATCATCGGCAAGTTTACAGAGATCAGATTGAAAAACAAGCCAGTTTTTTTTAATTTTATAAAAGCAAGTTGAATATAACGCTTACCTTTGATCTTGGTTCTGTTGTTCTTCAAACTATAAAATAATGAACACATATAAGTGTCCTTTCTGTTCTGGAAAAGAAGATTTATTTTTATGAACAAACACTTTCTGGACAAAAAAAGATGCGTGATATTGCCACTTTAATAAAAGCAAGTTGAATATAATGCTTACCTTTGATTTTACTCTAAACTATAAAATAATGAACCATTATCCTGAGGCTAGTGTACATACTGCTTACTTTTGCAGTCATTTAGAAATTGTCTTGCTTTGAGAGACTATAAAGACTTGTGGAAGATGTCCAAGAGATCATGGTTAACACTGAACAAGGATTGAAAGATATTGCCAGTTTGCAACGCTCAGCAATATCTCAACATCCGAGAGTAACAGCAATTGTCTTTCATATAAAAGATACATGGTCTATATTTTGAAAACATTTCAACATAAATAAAATTTTCTTAATGTTTTTTGTAGTTTTGAGAATCATTTTTTCTTATTTTCAAGGCGTCTAGAATATGTTTTAGGACAGGAAGTCTGATGTTTAGCCTTTATATGCAGCATTTAATTTTTTTTTTAATCAGAAGTAAAGATAGAGATTAAGTACAACTTATGACAGACCTTACCCTGTATGGCCAAATTAACTTTAAAAAAAACACATAAAAAATTCAGGGATATTTAAATTAGGGTTATATCAGAGAGGAAGCAGTTAATAAAAATATCTTCTACCTTATGTTTATAACCGAAAAAAATCCCCCCAAATTTGGTAATTTCATAATTTTTTGAGTAGGAAATGGAGCGTGATATTCGAGCATGTCTATAGCAAATTTGCCTAAATTAATATTTATCAATATAAAATGAAATTTTTATCAAGGATTCGCATACATTTTTCCTTCCTTTTTCAAAATTCCAGACTTGTGTCACTTAGCTTCGGTATCTCTGTAAAGAAAAATTTCCTGATACTGTAAAGTGATGGCAACAGATGGCGGTAGCAGATTCGTTATTGTGGGGAATATCAGAGTTCGTGTTATTAAGGGAAACCTTTCTGACCAACAGGTAACTGGGAGTGTTCTCAATTATTTCATAAACTGTCCTTTCTAAAATATTACTTAAACGACACTGTTCGACCAAAAGAAAAAAAAATGAAAACGAGTACGGTTTAGTGGTTTACAAGACAGAGTAAAAGTATTTAAAATCATCCAACAAATTCCGTATGTTGAAATAGTAACAAAATGATAATGTCATTTCCTTCTTTTTTTAAAGAAATGAAAAGATTTAAAAAGTTTACTGTCTTTTATAAATAGGATTCAGTACTCAACTGAGATAGGCAGAATCATTTTTAGAATTACCTCTTTCTCTGATTAATTCATTTTTCATTATTTGAAGATTCAATCTTGGGTTTTGACCCTTTGTCCTTTCATTGTGATTCAAGGTTGATGTAATAGTAAATAGCAATGGGTGTGACCTTGACCTGAGTAAAGGTCGTGCTTCAAAGGCTTTGTTAAATGCTGCTGGTTCCGGAATTCAGAGGGAATGCCAACAGAAATACCCTAATGGGATACAGTACGGAGATATTGCCATTACCTCTGGGGGACAACTTTCTTGCAAGGCGATTTATCACGGGGCGCTGTCAAAATATTCTTCAAAACAAGATGAACAGGTTTATAATATTCAGCATTTGATTCCATTACACTGTTGTTCTTTTTTTACGAAAAAAGTACTTTTTTATACGATGAACATATTGGGTACAATTTTAATTTAGAAATATATTTTTATGACACGTAAAATTTATAAGACATATAGATAGGAATGAAAGTTACACTTACTTCTTTTCAGACACTTGAAAATCTCATCGATGGCTCATTGAAACAAGCGGAATCAGATGGCCATCAGACGATCGCTTTTCCCGCGCTTGGTGCTGGAAGGCTTGGATACCCTGCAACAACTGTTGCCGAAATTATGTTAACTTGTATAAAAAATATTACTCCACAATCACTCCAGGAAGTCCTCGTTGTGATCTTCAAGAAAGATCACGATCTTTTCAAGGTAAGTTGTGGAACTCAGGGCAATATAAATTCCTTATTTAAAAAACCCGACTTGGAATCGGTTGACAAGGAATCCTTACTCCTTCTTGACACATGAACTGAAGTGTTTGGATGTTAATATTTGTTCAATCTCTGTTTGTTCAAATTTTATATGTCTAAATTAACCTTTGAGCTTGATTACTTTTTGTTATGTCCTTCTTTCAGATTAACTGTTTTGATCTAGAAATATAATCTGAATAAGTTCACTTTTACTTTTAACTATCAAAAATGAGCTTTTTTCGGAAGTATGTTTTATATCCGGATATATGTTTTAATATTTGTTTTCATTTCTTCATTGATTTCTTTAAAAATTGCTTTCCAAGAATCATTTTCAGAAGTGTTTTCAAATGTTAGTTAAGTTAGTTAATAAAAATATTATTGATACCTTTTCGTAATAAATCAATGATAGTTTTTAATACGTAAGAATTGATAAATAAAACAACTTCAAAGATGGTTAACCTTGAATGAGGAATTTAAAAGTATATATGATGTAATGACTCGGCATGGAAAATTGCCAACAGGTTAAATTACGAGGAGGATATTCAGTACTTTGAGACTGATACCTATTATGCTTTTCGAAGTAAAGTGGTTTTATCGACTTGTTTAACTTGATTCTTTCCTCCTACTTATTTTATTCATTTTACTTGCAGACATTCTTGACAGTGGCTAAAACATATACATCTTTACAGGCAGGTGAGGTTGTATGTGATTTTGGAGTTGTAACAAAAGCGTATTATCATATATATACAGTTAAATAATAGAATCTATTAGTTTTTGAGTTTGTATACTAGTAATCGAGGAATATTTATTTCTTTCTTATAATTCAGAGGTCCATTATCCTACTCCACAGCCACATGTATCGAAAAAAGGTCCACAAAATAGCGCTAAAATTGGCAAACCAGACGTTGAGGTCATTGTAGGCGCGTTAAATAGTGTTCACGTAAGTATTCATAGAATCCCAGAATACTGAGTAAACCCCGTTTCTCGAATTAAGATGCATTTAGGGGTTTTCAACCTATAATATCTCAATGTCAATCAAATTGGAAAAACATACCTTTTATATGATGAAAATGCTTTGTTGAACGGTACAGGCAGATGTGTTAGTGTGTAGTGGACCAAAAGACTTACAACTCAGCAATGGAGGATTGTCTGAAGCTTTGTTGAGGATTGCTGGTCGACAAATGCAAGATGAACTAAACAATAATTATCCCAATGGTGTTGAATACGGAGATGTTTCAGTCAGTAGAGGTTATCAACTTCCATGCAAATTTGTGTACCACGGGGCTCTGCCAAATTGGGGCACAAGTCAACCTGATCCATCATCAGTAATTCTAATATTATAATTATGTACAGGTCTCTGTAAGAATCAGACAAAGGGTGAATCATGAGGGTTCTCAGAATTCGATGATTTTACACACATAGGTTTCTCTTACCCTATGAACCACGTATGTAAAATGAAAATTATTTTGGGTCCTGGTTACTAAGGAAACACGGCCAAAGAAATTTTCCCTAGCAACCAGTCAATTTTTCATGAGAATGGACAAATATATCACTAAACTTAGAGGCTTGAAATGGAATGTGAATATTATCAGAGCGGTTCTTAAATAATGTTATCATAAAGATAAACATTTCAAATAATAAAACCATGTAATACATGGAATTTTTATTTTTAGATGTTTCTTTTATGGGCAATGGAAGATATACATGTTTAGCATTTTTTGCTGATTCAGCATTTTTGTTAATTTGGGCAATTTTCGAGGCCATATATCTCAAACTTCTGGCACAATACAAGAGTATGGTATATTTAACATAAAAGCAGAGGAATATCCTGTTTGGAATATAAATTCAAAAACGTGTGTTTTTTGATATTTACAATCGGTTGCCTAGCAACAAAAATGGATGTTTTGATTAAGAGAAAGAGAAAAACTGTCAAATGTGCGAGTTAATTTATGGAATTAAACCTTATTGGTGGATACCAAAATCAGTTTTTAAAGTAAAACATATTTCTGAGACTTCTTTATGAATCCAGGAATATTTGCAAATACTAATCACCATAGCAACAGAAACTTCCCCATAGCAACAAAGGAAATAAATCCAGTTTTGACAGGCACTCATTTACAGTTTTGATTATTTTCGTCTAGAAATGATGACTTAGTATACATAAGAATAGTGTTGAACTTTAACAATAGTAATTTTTGTTCTTAATTAATGCATAGCAGTATTGCCGAGTTTATAACGATGATAAAATTATACACAACAACGAGCTCAAGTTATTCTTGAAATTCTCTGTACATAAGCATTTTAAGACCAATTCTCCGTAATTATCAAAATTTATTGGCATCGCATAGTTATAGATTTGGATTTTTTCTATCATAATTTTAAAGAAATGTGTGATTGATTGTGAGATCTATAAGTATTTTTGAATTATAACTTCGGTTGCCATGGAAACGTGATGCAAACTTTCTCATTTCTGTAAATCATGAAAATCTGCACTTTTCATAAAGATATCCAGAAATGAAAGGAGATAATCAAATTTGTGTTTAATTTTTTTTTTTAAACCAATGCTAGAGATTCAAAGAACGTTTACGGTTCAATTTTAATTTCACACTTGTAAGTGGTCATGTTATTTACTGGAAAATATCAAAATATGGTAAATTCTGCTCGGTTTTTAAAGGCTTAAAACAAATAAATACAATGATTTACAAATTCAGCATAGAAACATGAAGATCAATATTTCATTGTATTAAATATTTTAAATAAAAAAAAATCGGTGTGCAAATGATATGTGTAAAAGAATTTTAAAAGTGAATATTCATTTTTTCTGCATTTTGAAGCATTTTTGCTTCCCAATAACTTCCCTTGTATTTCTCCCTATTTGATTTTTATTTAATTATTACACGCTGGGAGCAAGCTCCTGTGCTTTTTCTTTCCATTGTTTGGCTTTCATGCATTAAACCCGAGATTCCTCTGCTTTGAAAATTGTGAGACCTGAAGAGGCCTCTGTCCTGACTCTCTCCCGACCCCGGTACATTTCGCAATAAAAATATTACATTAACACACATTAGTGAGAGACAATGTACACATGTGTCAGGTCAGACAGTGACAGACACAATCCCTACATAACACTGCATGTATACTAAGAGTAGCTTGATTAGACGGATAGATGTTAAAGCAAGCATGATTTACAATTTTTACCACACTTTAAGCTTTCCTCATGCTCAATCTTTTTATGAAGTTACAAAATGCATCTTGGTGCACAGGGGCTTGCTCCAGCTGTTTAAAAAAATATTTATATATCATATATATAATTGATATATGATATTTTTTTTTTTTTTTTACAATAAAAGCACATCTTCATCTAGCACGAAATTTTTTTTTAATGCAATTAGAGTGTTCATAAACTTTTTTTTACCATGTGGACATTTAACACAATTTGAATAAAATTTATTAAACAAAAATTATAGATTTTAGTAATTGAGAGAATTAATTTGTAATAATTATATTGTTGAAAAAACGTTTTGATTTTACATGTATTGATTTATTCTCGTTGAGAACAAGAAGATGATTATACACGTAAAAGGTCTCTCAGTCAAACTCTTTTTTCTTATGCATAGCTGTCGGTAGCAAATTGAAACCCCCCCCCCCCCCCCCCCCCAATTTTTAATGTTTACATTATGTGTGTAGACCCCACCGCTACCGATGCCTATGCTACAACCAGATATATTAATTTGCATAAGTGGTATGACGATGAAAACTTAATTTCAATAAATTTTAGTTTACATTAAATGCAAATCAAGTGTGTTGTAACAGAGGACCCATGTCGCAGTAGGTGCTGGCATGAAAAAGATCGCTCCTTGCCCAATGTTCCCCAATGTCGTGTATAGGACAAAATTTGCAGCTCTCCACCAGCAAGTGGTGGCGTCTCCATGTGAGTGAAAAATTCTTGAGAGAGACGTTTAACAATAAACACAATCAATCAATCGAAGTGTACAAATTCTCTCTAATTTTGTGTGTATTTTTTAAACTTGAAAAGAATTAGTTTTAAAAGATTAATCAAACTATTTTTGTAACTTAAAATGAAATATAGTGTTATTTAAAAGGAGGGGTGTTATGATGTATTCAATAAGTATAACCGTATACATCAATACACTAAAAATTGTACAACAATACATAATTATATTTGCACACCGCACTATGTACCCTTTTCAGAAAACATATTACATTATGGTAATATATTGTGAATTAGGTGAATTTTATATTGAACTCGTCAGGGAAAAGAAAACCCTTAAATATTGTGTTTTTAGCTCTACTGGTCAGAGACCAGAAGAGCTTATGCGATAATAATGCGTCCGTCGTCCGTCCGTCTGTCTGTAAATAATTTTTCAAAATGCTACTCCTCCTACAGTTTTGGTCTGAGTTCAATATAACTTGGCACACAAGTAGACTACACTAAGATACATAATTCTGTGTATCCGTTTTTGATTTCGATGAACGGTGTTGCGGTTGTTACTAAGATTAGAAATTTCTGTGAAATTCTTTCAAAATGCTACTACTCCTACAGTTTTGGTCTGATTTCAATATAAATTGGCACACAAGTAGACTACACTAAGATACATAATTCTGTGTATCCGTTTTTGATTTCGATGAACGGTGTTGCTGTTGTTACTAAAAATAGAAATTTCTGTGAAATTCTTTCAAAATGCTTCTCCTCCTACAGTTTTGGTCTGATTTCAATATAACTTGGCACACAAGTAGACTACACTAAGATACATAATTCTGTGTATCCGTTTCTGATTTCAATGATGCCGTGGTAACTAAGATTAGAAATTTTTGTTAAAAATTCTCAAAATGCTACTCCAAATACAGTTAAAGTCTGATTATAATATAATGTGGCATGCAAGTAGACTACACTAAGAACATTAAGAGTCTTAATCAAGGATCATTATTCTTTTTATTGCCGTGGTAAAGTTTCAATTCCCAGCTGCTTAAGAACTTTTCTCTTCCTTTGCTATAAGTAAAAACCGGTAGAGCTTCAGTCTCGACAGAGACTTCTGGTTTTAAGTTGTGATAATTGTATTCTTCAAGCATGTCTCCAAAAAAGGATAGAAAAGAATGATGACTGCATTGTAAATGTTAACAAGATGTGTTTGTGAAACACTATGCGCCCGGCCGCAACAAAGTTCTAAAAAGCTATTTTTAGCATATAGGTTACAGTCAAGGTCACAAGCTCATTGACCTTCGTGTCAGTTGAAAGTGTTAAATTAGTGGAGTATGCATTCCAAATATGAAGTCTCTATCTCGAACGGTTCAAAAGTTATGCCGAAGGTTAAAGTTGATAACAGACAGACAAACAACTAGACAGGACAAAAATATTCGGGCGCATAAAAATTAATTTCATTGGCTAGGCTTAGGAAAATTGTTCATGTTCGATAGAAACTGTAACACAAAGTATACAGGTAACTCTCGATACCTCGAAATCCGCGGGACTGAGAAAAAACTTTGAGATATCAAGAGTTCGAGATTTCAAGAGTCCGGAATTTTCCGGGTTTGTTGACCGGTTTTGAAATTAGTCTTACCGAATGTAATAATTTTCATGCAGTGCTAACCCTTTACACGTGGTTTTTATAAAACAGCACCGTATGTTTTCGTATGGTAGATATATTTATTAAATTGAGTAAATAGAAAAATGTACATCGTCACTTCAAGTTTATTTATGTATTCTTTTTGATACAGACGTCAAACTACGCATTCGTTAAATAAAAACGACATTTTACCGCGTCGTACATAGCATTGACTACTTCAAACAATATCATTAAACGTTGGACGGGATTCTGTAAGTATTTGTGCAACAATAGTCGTAATATTGACATTGAGGCTGTTTCTGCATTTTCATATTTCGATAACCTTTGACACTGACTCGAATAAAAATTAAACTAGTTAGTTTTTCGTCTTGTATTCAATTTACTATTTTTCATTCACACCGCTTCTCTGAATTATCGTAAGACAGTCTATGATAATTTTTTTAATAGCATGTAGGCAACATATGATTAACTATAAATCAATTATCACCTAGCAGTACAAGTGTCACCTGTATAAACATCCCGTTTCTCGAGACCCGCGTCTTCTGCCTTGGACCATTTAAATGTCCAGGTAATTGTGTAACATTCATGATTGTATACACATAGCCACTTCGAGGTTTCAAGGGTAAATTTTAATAGAATATGCATAGCGGGACTACATTTTGACTTCGAGAGATCAAGGGTTTCGAGAGATCAAGAGTTCGAGAAATCAAGAGTAAATTTGCTTAGTTATATAGGGAAAAAAATCGGGACCGGATACTGACTTCGAGCGATCAAGAACTTCGAGAGATCGAAGTTCGAGCCATCAAGAGTTACCTGTATATATTCTTTTCGCCCGCGTGACGCAGTAGTTAGAGCGTCTGCTCTATAGAGTCATAAAGTATTGAGTCAATCCTTACGTCGCAGGTTCGAAACTTGACTTCAATAAACTGAACTAAACTGAGATAAAATAAATAGAATTCCTAATGCCATTGATGTACTCGTACCTTAATTTTCAAAGAATAACTTCATTTCCAAATGTTTGAATTTAATAAAAAAATGTTGGTTTTTTTATATTTGAAAAATCTGACTTCTAATTCATGCATTATTTAGAATACCTGTACCCACTAGATTTTCTGACTTCAACATTAATTTGTATGTTTCAGTAGCTATCTGTTTAGTTTACTTAAATTGGGCTATTGCTCCTATCTTGAGAAAAAAAACAGGAAAATTCAAGAAAGTCGATCAAGGAATCTTGTCATGGGGGTGGGGGTGGGGTAGAAGACCGGGGGTCCTGGACTGCATTGAAGTTCCCAGTGGGTTTAGGGCATGTCACTAGTTGGGGTCCACAAATGAAAGATGTTTTTTCCTTGATTTTAGGATAGTGGACATATAAATTTTATATATTCTACTCTACATGCACAAAATCTTCAAAAAGGGGGGGGGGGCACACCGGCCCTGAATCTGCATTTGTGACATGAACACATCTTTTTCAGGACCTTGCAACTCCACAACACCAAAAACATAAGAACATTTGAGCATTTTATACCTTGCAGTGTGACCACAAAAACCAGAAGTCTCTGTCGAGACTGAAGCTCTACTGGTTTGTACGTATAGCAAAGGAAGAGAAAAGTACTTAAGCAGTTGGAAATTGAAACTTTTCAACAGCAATAAATAGAATAATGATCCTTGATTAAGTATCTTTATGTTCTTAGTGTAGTCTACTTGCATGCCACATTATATTATAATCAGACTAAAACTGTATTTGAAGTAGCATTTTGAGAGTATTTAACAGAAATTTCTATATTTAGTAACCATGGCAACACCATTCAGAGAACTATGTACCTTAGTGTAGTCTACTTGTGTGCCAAGTTATATTGAAATAAGACCAAAACTGTAGGAGGTGTAGCATTTTGAAAGAATTTCACAGAAATTTCTATTTTTAGTAACAACAGCAACACCGTTCATCGAAATCAAAAACCGATATACAGAACTATGTATCTTAGTGTAGTCTACTTGTGTGCCAAGTTATATTGAAATCAGACCAAAACTGTAGAAGGAATAGCATTTTGAAAGAATTTCACAGAAATTTCTATTTTTAGTTACCACGGCAACGCCGTTCATTGAAATCAAATTCGATACACAGAATTATATATCGTAGTGTAATCTACTTGTGTGCCAAGTTATATTGAAATCAGACCAAAACTGTAGGAGGAGTAGCATTTTGAAAGAATTTCACAGAAATTTCTTTTTTTAGTAACCACGGCAACACCGTTCATCGAAATTCAAAACCGATACACAGAATTATGTATCTTAGTGTAGTCTACTGGTGTGCCAAGTTATATTGAAATCAGACCAAAACTGTAGGAGGAGTAGCATTTTGAAAAACTGTTTACAGACAGACAGACGGGCAAACAGACGGACAGACCCACGAAATGCAGGTTATGTGACTGACAAATTTATGTGACTTTTTCCAAAAAAATTATGTGGCGCAAAACATGATACATGGGGTAAGGGAGGTAAATCTCAAAACCTTTTGACGGACGTCCATATACGGACAATATTGTCCGTATTTTTTTATGTGACACTTCTTTAGAATGATTTTTAAGTCACATAACACTCATTTCTGCTAAAAAAAATCAAATTTGTATGTGACAGTCACATAAAACAAAAGAGTCACATAAATCTTAAATGGGCACAAAAACTGTCACTTAACCATTATTTCGTGAGAACGGACGGACGAACGGACGCATTACTATCGCATAAGCTCTTCTGGTCTCTGACCAGTAGAGCAACAACAAAGTACCAGTGGTTTAAAGTAATACCTTGCTGCTTTCAGGCACCTAGCAACCGAGGGGGGGGGCTGTTTGCCCCCCCCCCACTTTTTCTTGTAGAACGAAAATATAGCATAATGAATCGGTACTGAAAGATGTTGGCACCGAAAAAAGTTGGTCTCTAACACCCCCCCACCCCCCCCCACCCCCCACGAAATAGGATTTTCGTCTTTGGAGAACTTATTCTTTTTTTTTCCTTGTCAACTTGTTTAGGTAAGTAAAAAAAAATTTTCTCTGGCTGGCCTCCCCACTTTCAAAATCGATGATACGTGCCTGGCTTTTGGAATTTACTTTCTTGGGTACATTTAGATGTAAAGCTGAACATTTCTCATAAATCGGCACTGTCAGACGGGTATACAAAGTTCGATTTCGTTGCACCTGATTGCTCACTCGAAATGTGATTTTTTTAAAATGTAGGATAAAATAAAAACATGCAAATTTTACAGTTGAAGGCTTGTTGTGGTTGTTGTTGTGGAAAATGTTTCAAGGCTCTTTTCTCTAATATTTTGTTGTACATGTATATCAACCTTTAACTGTGAGATTGAGATCGAAAGAAAACTTGTTTAACTTATATGGCCTGGAATCTTGTTTAGGTATAAATGTTAACTATAACACTCTAAACATGTTAAAAAATGCCATATTTTTGAAAATTTATGACATGTTGCCATGGTAACAATGACACATAGCAACTTATTCTTTGCATACCTTTCAATGACAATGTCACAGACTTTAAAGGGAGTTTTAAGACTGAAATTCAGAGACAGTACATATCTCACTTACAGCTCCTTTATAAATGTTCAGGTCATTATAGATGATGGTGCTTTATAACTTTTCATAATAGCTACATGCTCAGTGTTGCTGCCATAGGTTAACAAGCATTTTGAGATTATTGCGGAAGCAATGCATGTCCCCTACCGGGTTCCCCCTTTTCTCTAGAACGTCAATTTATAATATCATGCAAAAGTTATGACCAAGAAAAAAGCGTTTGATGTTAAAATTTTGCGTATATGCATGCCTTTAATAAAAAAAACCATAAAGACGGAAATTCAACTCATTTTTTCAACACCTTCTTTTGGCTTCATATTTACCATGTTGACCTTTGGAATTTAGCGCAGCACGAACCCGATCTTAAACCATTATGAAAAAATTAAAACGCCATTTTATCAAAAATCAATGAGCTTTAACGACATTCAAACTTGATCTGTAACTCACCAAGATACACTCACATGCAGAAATTCAGCTCGATATCTACAAGCGTTTAGAATAGAAGTGCGGAAATCCAATTAAGTAGGACAGACTTACAGACAGACATGGGGACAGCTATACCGAAGGACAGACTCAGAGAAACCTAAAGCCCCCTCCAGTTTCACAGGTTAGGGACTTATAAAGTACAAAAAAATGCCCTGATGCACTTAAATCACTGAAGTCAGTCAAACGTTGAATAATCTTTAAAAACATATATATGAGTGTGTGTCAAAAGTGGGTTTATTTCCTTTGTTGCTATGGAGGAGTTTCTGATGCTATGGTGATTAGTATTTGCAAAATATTCCTTGATTCATTAAAGTCTCAGAAATATGTTTTTACTTTAAAAATTGATTTTGGTATTCATCGATAAGATTTTATTCCATAAATAACTCGCACATTTGGCAATTTTTCTCTTTCTCTTAATCAAAACATCCATTTTTGTTGCTAGGCAACCAACTGTCAATACTAAAAAACACACGTTTTTGAATTTATATTCCAAAAGGTATATTCCTCTGCCTTTATGTAAAATATACCATACTCTTGTATTGTGCCAGAAGTTTGAGATATAAGGCCTTGAAATTTGCCCAAATTAACAAAAATGCTGAATCAGCAAAAAATGCAAAACATGCATATCTTCCATTGCCCATAAAAGAAATATCTAATAATAAAAATTCCGTGTATTACATGGTTTTATTATTTGAATTATTTGAAATGTTTATCTTTATGATAACATTATTTAAGAACCGCTCTGATAATATTCACATTCCATTTCAAGCCTCTAAGTTTAGTGATATATTTGTCCATTCTCATTGAAAATTGACTGGTTGCTAGGGAAAATTTCTTTGGCCATGTTTCCATAGTAACCAGGACCCAAAATAATTTTCATTTTACATACGTGGTTCATAGTGCAAGAGAAACCTATGTGTGTAAAATCATCGAATTCTGAAAACCCTCATGATTCACTTTTATACACACATTGCCTGATTCTTACAGAGACCCGTACTTATTTTCTAAAATATGAATTAAATTGAAGGATAAACAAAACCTAAGGTAGTTTTACACACACGTTTTCTTTGGTAAATTGCTTTGATTCAATTGATATTCATATTGTTTGGTATTTTAGACGTTAAAGAAATTCATGGAAAAGTGTCTGGAAACTGCTAATAATCATTCCTCAAGATCCATTGCTTTTCCAACGCTTGGAGTTGGATCCTTACATTATCCTAGTGATCAAACAGCAAAACTGATGGTTAAAGCAATACGAGATTTTACTACAAAACATTCTCGTATGACTATCAGGAAAATTAGCATTGTAGTGTATAATGGAAGCCATGACTGGTCCAATGTTCAAAATGTAAGTATTGCGATAACCGCTTCCGTTTTTGTGTTTTGCTTTGCAATTAATTAATAAGTATCACCTCTGATTATCACTGTTCTGTGCAAATGATTGATTGTTAAGAAATCTACTATATGTTCCTTAGTTTTCCTGCCAAAACTTAGAATTTAATTGAACATATTTTATTGACAAAGAGTCAGAAGGATTAGACACAAGTCTTCTCCTAATACAACATTTTGCAAAATTTCCAAAATAAAATACATATATACATGTACATACTTATGGTCTTCTACATATATTACGACTTCGCTTGTCTTTGAAAATATACTGGTTATAAGCAGAAATGTATATAAAATATATTCTGGAAAGTCAAATGTTTTTCTTGGTATTTTTAATATTCTTCCAATAGCTAAATGATTTTTATTATTATATAAAAATTACACAAAACAATAAGTATTTGGAAATGATTTAAAGTATCTTACATTTAGAAACCATAAGCATGATCTAGAGTAGGGCAGAAGCAGTTGCAAATTTTTATGAACTTCATATTCAATTAATATTATATAATTTTCGAAAATAATTGTAAATTGCTATTTGTTTATTGACTGAAAACTTTAGTTTGTTTTCTTTAGGAATTTATGACAGAATTAAAAGGAGGATCATCGAGGGTCACCGCGGTTCCAGGGACCCCAGGTTTGTGTAACATGAATATGAATATTCAAATACATAGTATTTTTTATTTTATTAATCTGCATTCAACCAGATTTCATATTTATGCCTCCTATGAGAAATATCAGCCTGATAATGCAGTGAAAAATAACCAAACACAGATATGCAGTTTTGTCGAATATATCATTTAATTCAATGACATAAAGTAAAATGTAAAACAAATCATTAAGGGGGAAATTGCGCTGCGATAAAGGCGCATATCCTGCAGACTGCGCAGGGATATGCAGAATTATCCTAAGGTGTAAAATATAATATATTTCTCATAGCGGCATAAATTGAGTTATCTGTGATAATATTGTTTTAAAAAATTCCTTTTGATTTTGAATGCAAATTTGTTTTGCATAGGCATTATATCTTTTTAATGTGGAAAATAATTCTAGTTTTAAAAGTTTTAAAATCTGCATATATTTGTAATTTCGTATCATTTAAGCCATGAGTACTATGACCCGACAGTCATGTTCTGGTCAGGTTGGGGGTATTCCTGTCACTGTTTTGGTTGGGAGTCTTGTTGAACAAAGGGTAAACCTCACTATGTTTTTATCATTCATTAAAGCTCAAAGACATTTTTCAACCAATAATCATTCATAAATATTGAATGCTTCAATTTATACTTAAAATGTTACGATACAGAAATATATTATAATTTAAATATTGAGTTCTAACATGACCATTTCACAAATAGGTGAACGTCATTGTTAACAGCGTTGCCCATGATCTTGCAATGACGTCAGGAACGTCTGCTGCAATAGGTACAGCAGCTGGACATGGGTTATCTCAAGAACTGGCTCAAAATTATCCCCAAGGAATTAATCATGGCGACATTGCTGTATCAAAGGGACACAATCTGAGCTGCAACGAAGTTTATCATGGCACTCTGTTACCATGGTATTCAAAACGTTCCGCAAGTACGAAACTTCCTGATGAGGTTAGCAAAAATAAATCTTGTAACTTCTAACAGATATGCCACAATAAAAAAAAAAAAAAAATAGATAGTTGGATCTTTATGCTAGGGATTTCGCATTGTAGGTGCTAGAGGACTTCGTCTTGGGTTGTCTAGAGAAAGCAAATAATACTGGCTACACATCCATAGCAATTCCCGCTCTCGGAACTGGGAATCTTAAATTTCCTGCAGACGTGGCAGCCGCAAAAACAGTAACTTCTATAGAAAAATTTTCTAAGCACCGACAGCAACAGAGTATTTCAGATATACGAATTGTGCTGTATGGGGGTAGTAGTGATTTGCCTAAACTGGAAACGGTAAATACTCATTTGTGTAAGACAACAGTAAAAACATGTAGTTAGTTTGTATTAAATGTAAGTGTATATTTTTGTAATTCATTCCCACACACTAGATATAATATAGAGTAATTATAGCAGCTAATATATATTTGAGCTATATTTATATAAGCATACCTTGATAAAAATTATAATGAAAATTACTAGTATATGAAATTAAAATTCTGTATCTTTGCTTATATATTCACAGGCATTCAGGGACGAAATAAATCAGGTCAATTCTTCAGGTATAAATACAATAAATAAACTAAGTAGAAATACATTGCACATGAATTACTGATCAGTATTACGTTATTTAATTCATTTAACCATGTTTTATTAAAGGTAAAACTTCTTCAGTCGCTTCAGTCCCTAATAGACCTAAAAACTTGGAATCAATTCCACAACGAGGCACAAAAGCTTACCTTGATTACAAATATCGAGAAGCGCTCAGATCACCACCCTACTGGACCAAATATACCTCCGACAAAAAGCTCAAATGGTGGAATCTGCAAGTAAAATCACGAAAGTTCCATTTAGAAAATATTGACCAAGTCACTCATGGATCCATTGAAAGTACGTTAAAAAAGACTTTAGGAAATGCACGTATTGTCAGCATTCAGAGATTAGAAAATGTCGAACTGTTTCTTAAGTATGGAGAAGAATGCCAGAGGTTATTCCGAAAAGCAAGCGTAGAGGGAAATTTCACCCCACTGGATAAAATTCCACAGTCCCATGGGCCTGTAGAAGTAATGGCTTCGTTGGATCCCTCAATGACGAAACATACTCATTCCGAAATAAATGAGTACTATTTTTTCCATGCCACGAAGTCTCATTATGTTGACGTCATTTGCAGTCAAGGATTGGACAGTCGGCTTGCAGCGAACGGAAGACTCGGAGCGGGAGTGTATGGAGCTGAAGTAGCCTCCAAGTCACATTCATATGCAGGTAATCCCCAAACACTACAATGGACTTATTGGAAGTTCTAAAAATTGAAGAGTACATACTTAGTGCTTAAACTCTGTACTACAAAACAATACTTAAGCTCAAAATTCCTCTCTGATTTTAATAATAATTTTGTGTATAATTATGAGAACAGAGTATCAGTTTGAGCATGGAGTGCGTTTTATAACGTTTCAAAAGTTTTCATAACAACCAGGTCCTGGTCCTTAACTGTTAAGCATTACGAAAAAATGCATATGCAAAGAAAAAAGACTAAAATTGAATTTGTAGGAATATTTAGTACATTCAATATTTATATAACTCCAAAATTATAGAAAATTTAAACAGTTGAACAACTTGGTCAAATCCTTTTCAAAATTTTTTTACAACCATTTCTTAATATATCAGTTTCTTTTATTTAGGATGTGACAGCAAAAACCGTTACCCAATGTTTTTGGTAAGAATGAGTCTTGGTGACATTTATCTGACCAGTTCAGGCGGAAATTATAAAAGACCACCATGTAAAATCTGTACAAACCCTGTGTGTTCGACTCATCAGGAAATCCATGACAGTGTAGTGGCCAATGGTGGAGCCTTTTCAGACCGAGAGTTTGTGGTTTATGACAGAAATCAGTCCTATCCCGAGTATCTTATTTGGTACACTTGTTAGACCGTGATTTTGGTTAGATTTCATTATTTCTGTGCCGATGTGTATACAGAAAAAAAAGGACATTAACTTCAGACGACTAGTTTCTCAATGAATTAAAATTGATTCCTAGAATTTTTCGATTAACGTTTATCATTTTGTTTTGTTAGTTCCCTGATTATAAAATAAGGTTACCAAGCAGTAATGCAAGATATCCGAGGATGGTGTTTCCTATCTATTCTTTTTGGAAATCACCTATATTGCAAATATCGCAACTTTAAGAGTATATTTTTCTAAGATAATTTTAAGACAGTTTAGAAATCACAAAATACGTACTCATTACTATAAATATTTTTTAAAGATTATAAATAGATATAATATACCGTCAGATGATCTGAATATGATTTTTTTGATTGAAAAGAAAAAGATTTTCGTTAATATTTGATAATGACCACGGCGGAAGCGGTAGGTGGCTGGTAGAAAATTATTTTATCTGGCGGCCGCCAGGGAATAATTTTAATTTCGGCCACTAGATAATTTCTGGTGGCCTCCAAAAAAATTATATTACGGGCGCCAAATAAGTATCTGCCAGATAATTTTGTATCCTGTAAGTTTCTGGCGGTGCGAGTTATTTATGTGGCGATCTCAAGATAAAATAATTTTTTTCCTGGCTCCAACCGGCTTCCGTGGTTCCCAGTCTTTTTCGAAGCAGTACAACTCATGTAATTTCGTGCCTAAGGAAATATCTCAAGCCCTTTTCCCTTCCTATAAGCATTGAAGGAAAAGCGTTGACAGTAATTGTTGAAATATTTGAATGTTCAATACTTTGAAATTGATAATAGAGATGTTTTGAAGGATATTGTGTATGTGTACCTAAATTCAACTTTTTAACGTTATTTATGGACCATAATAAACATCTTGTATATGAGATTGATATTCCATTATTTTACTATACGTAGAATTATTAGCGCTTTTTACAAGTTTAAGTGAAAAACAGGTTTAATTGACTCTGTACGTATTGTTTTATTGACCTTGATTTTGTACAGTGTATGTGCTTAAAAAAATGAATATATTGTTTTATAAATTTCTAGTAAGTACAATATGAAAGTATTTGTATGAATGTACCTGATTTACGCCAACTTGAGGACGAACAGCTTAAAAACTTAAGCAGAATAGAAAAAAACAAGATGTGTTGGTATTTGTCACTAATGCCCCATATGGAAAATTGCAAGTCAAACTCCAAGGTCAAGAGATAAAGAAAATCAAAGTACTCAGAAGTGCTGAAAGCCGGGCTCATTTACAGGGTAACGAACAAAGACCGCGATGACAGATTAAAAACAAGCCGATTCAGACATTGAGAAGATAATTATATATCTCTATGTCATATATAGCATTAAAAAGTTTTAAAAATTAATTAAAATGTAGCTAGAATTTAACAGCGTAAAATATTTGTCACATGTATCGTTTCGGGGTTTTATATACCAACAGAAGTAAATAAACACTGATGCAGCAAGATTATTTAAGGTCAAACGATTATGCACAGATGTGTCCTCAGCGGGGAGTTTTGCATCAAAGCGTACATCAAGTCATTAGTTCCTGCATTTGTGTTAGCCTGATAGTACAACCTTTATTTATAGAATATGACGCAGACAGGGATACCTGATGAATACCTTTCGCATATTTTAAGCAAACAATTAATCGTCGAAGACGATAGAAAGTATTGTATTATAATTATTTTTTTGACAATTTCAGATGACTTTGAAAGTTTAATTAAGTGTTTGTATTGCCTCAAAGGTGATTGCGAAAACGTACTATATTCTAAGGCGTAAATTTTATTAAGTGGTGATGAAGCAGCATTTCCTGTTGAACACCGTCGCAAAAGCCGGACATTGCTCTACGAGCAATGAGCCCGGCTGAAAATGGTACTCAAAGAAATATATTGTCACAAGGAAACACATGTAATAAGAAAGCATTTGTACCAAATGTAAAAACGTTTTGGCAAAGTTTAAAGTTTTCACAATACAGGTAAACTTCCAAAGTCAAAGGATAAAAATTAGTAGTGTCCAGAGGAGGATCTTGTCATATGAAATGTATATGTGAATTATGAAAGCCTTAATAGTACTTAATGTTTAAAAAGTACAGACAAAAAAAGTTTTTCAAAGGTTAGCCAACTTCCAAGATAAAGGACAAAAGAAATCGAAATTGTCGGTAGATGTACCCTAGAGAGGCTTTGTCAAAAATATATAAAGTAAAAAAGCATTCAATAGTTATGACCAAGGTTAAAGTTTTCGGTCTTAATAAAAAAAACATATGCACCCAAAGAAATGATCTTAACTATGGAAATCTACAAGTAAAACATGAAAATCCTAGCAGTATTTGTTCATATATATACTTATTCACATATACGGTTATACACAAGGCTAAAGCCTGGATAATAATTTCAAAAATGGGTAAATGACATGCTGTTTTTATGTTGGTACCCAAAGAAAGGTATTGTAACAAGAAATACACCTGTGAAATATGAAAGCCTTGGCTTCCAGCCAATCAAAAGGTGAGGTAGGGTAAAAGTTTTTTTTTTTTTTTTTTTTTTTTTTTGCAAACAAACACATAAACAAACAAAAAGACAAACACACGATCATACAGATGGACGGATGGACGGGGCAATAGCTATATGTAGCTGAATCTTTGAATATGGAGGGGAGGGAATTCTAACTGAATGTTGCTGATCAGAGAATAATCGCTAAGCCATTGTAGACTTTAGACAGTTTTTATTCAGTAGCCCTGTCTATCTTTTTTTTTAAATATAAATAAATACGATTAATACAGAAACTGAAACTCTGCCTATATGAAAAAAAACTTTCTGTTGGGACGCATATTGTATTATACCGCGAAATATTTTTGCATTGCAAGGGTATATATTAAAAGCAAATTTTCTATTAATTACATTTGTATTAATGTCTTATGGTATTTGCTGAAGTATGTGCCTCTCTCGCTTGATAAGTGATATTTGTTTAGTATATCAGCATAATATTTGACTTAGCCACATACTTTCGTGAAAAGTGTCATAATGCAACTTCACAGCTCAATACATTTTTCAAAAAGTTTTAGAAATGTACCGGTATGAAGTTTTTCTCATTGAACATTTCCTTGGGTGTATTTCAATGGAAATAACTTAATTACATCTCTATTAAAAGAAATATTGAAAATGTACCATTATAACTCTTCTTTGTAGGAGATAAGACTATTTGTTTATGGTATGTATCCTTAAAATGTACTTATAGTCTTACTCAATACAAGGTTTGATCTGAAAAATGTTCGAATGACTCATTAATGTAGCAGATGAGATACCCTGTTGTATACATTAGTGTTATATCATGATATGCTATTCTCAAACATGTACTCATGAGGAGCACTCTTCCATTGGGGTTTCATGCTGTTTTAGATATTAATATTGAGGAGGGGCTATGAATATGGGATAGGGGTCTCGATATAGAAGCAAGCGACAAAATTGTCAAACGTGTAGAATGCTAAAACTTTGAAAATAAGAAAGAACATGCATAACTAGAAAATGTATTTAGCATTTTCAAAAAAATTATTTATAAATGCGTTACATGCATAAATGACCCATGGCCTTTCAATTTACAAGTTTTTATGGAGAAAAAATGTGTTGTTTAATAACACTAAAGATCCCATATTGAATAAAAAATTTAATTCTATATCATAAAAATAAAGCAAATATGTTAGTTTGCAAATCTAGCTATACCATAGCTACCATAGATTTGAAGCCACAAGGGAAAATATTTACTGTCTATTAGGAAAAGAGCAAGTTCATTGTCTTCAAAGACAGAAACTAGTTCCAAAAGCAAAGCCGAGTGAAATAGTTGCTGTCCAAAAGGAAACAATAAACTTGCTTTTATCCGAATTTTCAGTAATGAGGTAAATAAGGAAATTTTGCCCCCTGTTTCAGTTTCACTCTTGCGCCCTTCTCACATTATTTGCAATTAATCGAATTTAAAACAGCTCGAATTCAAAAAAACCAACATAAGGTTTCCTTTCTATATATTTGTCTTTTTAATTGGATGTACATTTGACTAGCTGTTGTCAGTCTGTCCCAATTGGTTTTAAACACGGACCCCTAGAAAATTCAGAGTTGGGATTAGGTTGCTAGGAGGAGTAACTATCCCCTGCCGACTGGTCACACCCATCGTGATCCCTTTGTATTCATCAAAAAACATGACATTTCTTAGTCAATTCAGTATAAAAACAAAGGCCAAAAAATCGATATTAACAGGTCAGCCAAAATACGACCCAATGAAAGGTTATACTTGCTCACAATGTCATTATTACGATCATGCTGACTTTAAATGTGGTTGTTTAAGTTCCTGTGACATCAACTCGTCAGTATCTTAAAAACCGATTGTACTCGGAGAATTTTCTTGAGTATCTAATCCGTTCAGAGATGTAAACACCATATGCAGATGATAGTGTGATATTACATGAATAAGGAACGTTAAAAAAATGACGAAATGATTAAAGATATAATGTTAAGTATCTTCTGTTTATAACTGTTTCTTATCAATTGTCTATTGTTTATGACGGCAATTTTTCTCAATCCATCTGTGATGGTTACTTGCAGATAAACAAAGTTTTTTTAAAAAATAATTTTTGGCACCTTAAAACACACACACACACACACCCTCACACACACACTCACACACACAAACACACCCTCACACACACACACACATATATATATATATATATATATATATATATATATAGAAAGCACAAAGAAATTCACTTTTACATGGAGACTCACTTCCGCCCCAGCCTGGGGTTGAACTCTCGACTTTCGGAATCTGTCTCCTAGCAGTGCAGGAACAGCGCGCTAGACCACTCGGCTATCTAGGCAAGTCAAAAAACTTGCTTTCGATGCCGATGGAATTCTCGCGGCGCTGTCCTACACTACACGATCATAGAGAATAGAAGTGAGATACAGTTATTTGGACATTAGTTTTAACAGAGGATTGTTACCTATACACGTTGTAATGAAATTAATTATTATTTATAAAGCACATTGTACAACAACTCTTAAACTAATATAACTGCCCTAAGTGAAGAAATATTAATATACGACAAAACAATATTAGAATATGTATATATATATATATATATATATATATATATATATATATATATATATATATATATATATATATATGTGTGTGTGTGTGTGTGTGTGTGTGTGTGTGTGTGTGTGTGTGTGTGTGTGTGTGTGTGTGTAGATAAAGAGAAGTTTGTTGCACATCTCATTACATAAAAGAAAATAAAAAGGAATCGAGATAGTCAAGTTAAGTCGCGAACTTGTTTATACTTACATTTTTTCGCTTACAAGGAAGATAAACGGCAAATAACATGCTTTTTGTTATCTGAAAGTGTACTGTATCTATTGTCTTAAAAGTAATAATACGTAATTTTTGGAATTAGATAAATTTTTATTCAGATTTCTCAGAAACACCGTCTTTTGTCAGCTTGGATACAAAACAACGTCAGTGATAACAGGAAGACTTTGAATCTATCAAATCTTCTGCTTCTTGGCAACTAAAATTTCAAACATGACTTATATACAGTACTCGAATTATTAACATAGTTTCAATCTTCAGTTTTCAGTGATCAACCGAGAGTTCCATAAGGCACCGTGACAATGGTTACAGACCATGATAGCCAATTTTTTATTGTCGGGAATATCAGAGTAGTCCTTAGCATAGGAAATCTGTGTAACCAACAGGTAAATTTTCGAGCTTATTAGTCCCCTATCGGCAAAACCGTAATGGACCATATCAGAATTCTCCTCTTATGTTTGTCTGTTCGTCTACCTGCCTCTCTGTCCGTCCGTCTGTAAAGTTTTCACGTTTAAGACTTCTCGAGAACCATTGTGTCAGTTTCAACCAATTTTGCCAAAAAACATCTGTTTTTTTAAAAGGAGATAATTCAGAGATGGATATGGAGATGACGAACAGTATTCAATATCAAAGTCCATAGAACAAAACAAAACAGGAGCAGACCTCCAAAACATCAGAGGTGGGATCAGGTGCCATGGAGGAGTGAGCATCCCCTGCTGACCGGTCACACCCACCATGTGCTCCTTGTCATGATCGGAAAATAACGGAAAAATCCGTCGTCAATTCAATGTATAATAATGGACTAACAATTAGTATGAAAAACGTCAGTTAGCATTTGACTTAATGATAAATTCAATTTGCTGACAAGGTCATTGTATCGACCATAGAACTTACGAAATGATGACTTTAAACGAGACTGTTGATATTCTGAATTGTTTCATCAACTTGCTTGTCAATAATTTACCTCGTTTTAGAAATTATTCATACGTAGAGCATGCTCTTGCGTATCGAATCAACTGAGATATATAAACTCCGTATGCAGGTGATGAAGGTATATTGCTGCATAAGTAAGGGAAGTTCACGATAGAAAAGTTAAAGTCATCACGTTTATCATATAGCTTGGTTGTTATATTACCATTTACGTCTTTTTCAAGTAAAATATCGAAGTATGAAACAGATGTGTCAGACTCTGTGGTATCTTTTATCTCAAGCTCTCCAGGATATATTGTATCGACGTAGTAATGGAAATTACCATTGTTAAATGATAATACGTCGTCGATATATCTAAATATCGAGTTGAAGGCCACAGCAAGTGTTTTCTTCTTTTCACGCATAAGATTTTGTATAAATTCTTCTTCATATGAATACAAAAATAGATCTGCTAATAACGGAGCGCAATTGGTACCCATGGAAAGTCCAGTAGATTGTTGGAATACCTGGTCTCCAAAACCACATAGATATTGTCGATCAGAAACTCAAGAATCAAGAATACGTTTAAATTATGTTGAATCTTTTATTATTTTTTTCTCCTAAACTAATGTTGAAACACTGTTGAAGCTGAAACATACATGTATGTGAAACCTTTCATAATGTATGTAATTGTTTTTTTAATAATGTCTCCCGAAATAGTGAGGTGACAAAAGGGGATCCAATTTCAACATAGAAATGTAAGAAAAGTCTTTTAAAGAACATTCAACAAAGCTATGATAAGTCATACTAATATTGAAGCATCTGCAGGTAGTGTGGATCCATGCTTGTTCAAATCACACCCCCTTAAGTAGGGTTGGCCAAAATTGAGGATTCAACATCTTTTGGAAATGCTTAGGGAAAAGATATTTTAAAATATTCATCTAAAGAAAAAGAAAACTCCAATAATCATATCAATATGGAAGCATCCTTAGGATGTAGATTCAAATTTGTTCATATTATAGGCCCTGGGGATTGGCGAGGCCACAATGGGGGATGAAAGTTTTAGAAAAGAATTTATTTATAGGGGGAATCTTCAAAAATCTTCTTCACAAGAACAGCAAAGTCATGTTTAGTCACATTGAAATGGAAACATCCTTCGGATTTGTAGATTCAAATTTGGGTAGGATGGGGAAGTATGAGATCAAGATGAACATAGTTTGATAATTCTCTAAAAAAATTTCTAAAGAACACCACGCCATGTTTATTCTCATTGATTTAAAAGTTATTGTTTGAATGTTAACATGAGTGAACATATAGACATCCTGAAACTTTTTAGTTCAAAATAAACATAAACTAGAGTTTTGTGAGCAATGAGTTCACTAAATGATACCCCCGCCTCCCACATGAATATAATGGTAGTGTCCATGTTTTGCTATGGGAAACCCAAAATATGTGTAGGATCAAAAAGTTGAATAGGAGGTGCACAATGGCAATATGTAATAAAGAAATAAAGATTCGGTGAAAGTTTCATCAAATTTCATTTAGTGGTATGAAAGGAGTTGCAGATAAGAGATGGGTACCCCAAGCGTAACAGACGGACATGCAGACGGACGGACATAACGATTACTATACACCCACCCGCTTTTCAAGCAGGCGGTATAATAAATGAACCAAAATACCAACTGTGAAAGAAATGACTTCCATTTACATGAAAAAAGTTTTGTTTAATGAAAAAGGAAGATGTGTTGGTGTGTAGTGGACCAAAAAACTTAAAACTCAACAATGGAGGATTGTCTAAAGCTTTGTTAAGTGCTGCCGGTAGAGAAATGCAAGATGAACTATACCAGAATTATTCTAATGGCGTTGAATACGGAGGCATTGCAACCAGTAGAGGTTATCAGCTTCCTTGTAAATTTGTGTACCACGGGGCTCTGCAAAAATGGGGAACCAGTCAACCTGATCCATTATCCGTAATTTTAAAATCATAATTGTTACTGTTTATATCAATGAAAAAACCATGTTTTGTAAAAGTTAAATATAATTTCTAGATTCAGTAAACTATATCATTTTGCAGATTTTTCCTGCAGTAAACTGCTATAGTATAATTTGTATTCTTGATATTATTTTGATATTTGTAGACGTTAGAGGAATTTATGATGACGTGTCTGGTAATGGCAAACAGTCATTGTAGAAGTTCCATTGCTTTTCCAACACTTGGACTTGGGTTTCTAGATTATCCTAGTGATCAAGTAGCGAAACTGATGACAAAAACAATAGGAGACTTTAGCTTCAAACAATCTGCTGTGAATATCAAGGACATTGTCATTGTAGTCTTTGAAGAAGAGAGACTGGTTAAATATTCAGAATGTAGGTGTAATAATGTCTATTTCTATTATTTCTTTCAATTGAAATGTATTGTTAAATGTTGCGGAAAAAATGAATGAAAATTGGTTTCTTTAAAATTGAATTGAACGTTTGGAAGCTTATTGTTAACAATTTGGGACCAAAAAATAAAATATAGATAATATAGATGATAAATGTTTCATAACAAAAAAAAATAAAATAAAGTTATTTTTTATACTAGGTATTCATGAACGAATTACAGTCAGGAAGTGGATATTCTAGAGCCCAAGTTGCCATAGGTTTGGGAATGTATATTTTGAAATAAGTTATGTGAACCTTTAGAAGAATCTAATTTCCTTCTAGTAACCTTCTCTTGTTAGGTAATGCAAACTTTTTACTCCTTCATACAGAAGCGATTTTACATTAATTAAATTAATGTAATTGCCTTCAAAGTACTGAATATGAACCTGATCATTCAATATTAAATATTTACATCCTCTTAATATTATCTTCTTTATTTCTCAAGAAAAGCTTTATTGTTTATTAATCAGAAAACGCCGTTAAGTTTAGTATTCTTTAGCAGTGGCGCTTCCATCAATGTTCATAATATAAAATGCAATATTTAACCTACTTAATTCTACGTTAGTCTTTCTTAATTTGTAAGTCCGGAAATGAAATGTGGCAACATGTGCAGGATAATATTCCCGCTTAGCTCTTTATTCCTTTAGAGTAAGAGACAAATTCCAAAAAGGGATGAAATCGTTCTTGAAAAAGATGTAATTTATGGAAAATTCGAATTTCTGAATGTAAAACACCCAAGGCATGAAGAATGATCATTCTTTGCAAAAATATGCGTAAATCCGAGTATAAAATCATAATATCACAGTTTTCCTCAATTTTCAGAACATTTTATTATACAATTAAATACTGTAGACGTACTTTTTTCCACGGGGTCATAATTCCGCGGAATAACAATTTCTGTTTAATCCGCGGGTAGAAAATTACGCGGATTTTCTAGATTGTCACTATATGCCTTACATTTATATTAAGTACGCTTGGACAAATTTCCGCGGAAAAGTTGTGACCGCGTACATAGCGTAAATTAATACCACGCGGAAAAAAGTACTTTTACAGTATACTGGCCAAAATTATTTTAAAAAAATAAAAATCAGCAATTCTTCTTATTTTGAATTTTATTTACCGATGAGTATTACGTAATTTAAATCATTTGTGTATGTGTTATTAAAAATAAAACTTTTTTAGTCGCTTCAGTCCCAAACAGATCTAAAAACTTACAATCAGTTCCACAACGAGGCACAAAAGCTTACCTTGATTATAAATATGAAGAAGCGCTCAGATCTCCACCCTACTGGACCAAATATACCTCCGACATAACACTCAAGGGGTGGAATCAGAAAGTAAAATCAGGAAAGTTCCATTTAGAAAATATTGACCAAATCACTCATGGATCCATTGAAAATGCGTTTAAAAAAACTTTAGGAAATGTCCGTATTGTCAGCATTCAGAGATTAGAAAATGTCGAATTGTTTCTGAAGTATGGAGAAGAATGCCAGAGGCTATTCCGAAAAGCAATCGTAGAGGGAAATTTCACCCCACTGGATAAAATTCCACAGTCAAGTGGGCCCGTAAAAGTAATGGGTTCATTGAATACCTCCATGACAACACATACTCATTCCGAAATAAATGAGTACTATTTTTTCCATGCCACGAAGTCTCCTGATGTTGACGTCATTTGTAGTCAAGGACTGGATAGCTGTCTTACAGAGAACGGGAGACTGGGGACGGGAGTGTATGGAGCTGAAGTAGCCTCCAAGTCACATCAATATTCAGGTAATCCCCAAACACTCAATGGTCTTTTGGGAAATTCTCAAACTTGATGAATACGTACACCATACTACAAAATCATACGTAGGCTCAAAATCGCTGCCTTATTTGTATTTAAAGATTCTTTTGTGTATAAATAAGGTTCTAGATAAAGTAGTATGAATTTGAGCACTGAGTAACTACTCGAAAGGTTTTATAATTTCTAGGTATCTAGACTCTAAATGCAAAGGATTACGAAAAAATACATACATAATTATAACAAAAAAGGCCAAAATATGTGCCTAAAAGAATATTAAATGCATTCAATTTTTCGATAAATCCAAAATAACAGAAAAAAAAATAAAACAGTTGAACCACTATCAATATTGATTTTACAAATCTTTCTTAATATTTCCGTTTCTTTTATTTAGAATGTGACAGTCAAAACCGTTATCCAATGTTTCTGGTGAGAATGAGTCTTGGTGACATTTATCTGACCAGTTCAGGTGGAAATTATAAGAGGCCACCATGCAAAATCTGTACGAACCCTGTATGTGCCACTCACCATGAAATTCAGTGTAGTGGCAAATGGTGGAGCCTTTTCAGATCGAGAGTTTGTTGTTTATGATAGAAATCAGTCCTATCCTGAATATCTTATTTAGTACACTTGTTAGAGGAGGCTGGCTTCTGTTTTATTACCGGTACATTTCATAATTCATGGCTGATGTGTATAATAAAGGGTCAGTTGACACGTTTCTCAATAAATTACAATTGTTCCAAAGAATTTGCCGTTAATGTTTTGCTAATTTAAAGTTTAAAAATATGTTTTATTGACTTTGTACCAATTGTTTTATCAACTTTTTAAGCTATGAATTATGTCTGCAATGAAAATAAACATATATGTATTATGGATTATTTTTCTAGTTGGGACACAATGTAAGTTCGCAGAGAATATATTATGCTAAATAAAGACATACTAGGTTTTAATTTTACGCTGCAAGAAATTAATTCAAAATTTCGCATAAGGATTTAAACGCTTTAAAATAATAATAATAAAATTTACGATGGGTTTAATTTCGCGGAAAATTAACAAATCGCGAACATAGCGAAATTAAAACCATCGTTAATATTTGCCAATCTACAGTATTTGAATTTCTAACGAGTGCAATACGAGGGCTGTTCGGAAATTATTGAGACATTGTGTATATTTTGCTTTCTAATGAACGCCTTTCGGTGAAAATTTGCTTATACGTTTGACATACACTAAATTTATATGAGCAAGAAATATTTTACAAATATCAAATATTTTCTCTACAATGTTATATAAATGTGTCTATAGTAGGGGTACCCGGAGCAGTCGCGGAATCAGATATTAAAAATATGTAACACCAAAATTCTAACTCTTCGTGGATCCATAAGGAGAGCGAATATAATTAAGTTTAAGTGTATAATTTTTCAGCTTTGTTTCAAATTCATGTTGTGCAACTTTGATAGAATTTTGATCAGAAATACGGAGATCATAAAAAAATTAAGCGCGGTAGAGAAATCTGCTAACGACGAGAAAATAGATTTTGACGACTCAAGGGCGGAGCAGCCAGAATACCTAAAATTTTGTGTAGCGCAATGTAGAACTCTTTTTAAAACTGAACGACCTGCTAAAACAATAACAACGAGAAAAAATGTGTTAGGGTTTGTTTTTTCAGTGGTATACATTTTTTTTACAATAATTTTAACCAGAGTTAAATTAAAAGATCTGAACGACCATGAGTTATTACGTACAGTATTGATATCGTTATGGTATTAAACCCGCGTTGCATAAATCGGCACTGCATGATTCTTAGTCATCCTTTCCCACAAATGAACATTTTTCACTTGGGTATGGGGTAGCAACAGCATACATTTTTAAAGAATAGTTTAAGAAAAGAGACTGTTTGATGTTTGTAATGTTATATATAATAACAAAAAAGGAAGAGTACTAAACGCTTTCCGATCGTTTCACAAGCGAAACAATCTACGGCTAACGTAACGCTAATTGACGTAGCGATGCTGCTCCGGGTCGATAGACATATGCATATTTATTACTTCACTGAAACTTATCTAATTATCATAGGAATTTGAAATTTTGCATTAGCTCTTTAGTCGTTCTTTATAAAATGTTGATGAATTTTCATAAAATTATCTCCGTCCATTGTAAAGTAAATGTAATTGTCTCAATAATTTCCGAACAGCCCTCGTAATTTCAATACAATGTTTTGCAAGAAGAAACAGGAAGTTTGAAAACTTCAGCAGATAAGACAGAAAACAAGATTTAAGCATTTTTGTGAATCTCTAATTATGGCAGCTCATGGGTACAGGTGAAAGTTTCTCAAATGCAAGACAAACTTCAAGTTCAAATTCAAGAGAACGAAAATAATGGTACCCAAAGAAATGTATTGTCACAAGGAAAACACCTGATATAGGTGAACTCTTACACCAATCGTTGAAACATTACGGCCAAGTTTATGTATTTCAAAAGGAGTTAAACCTCCAGGGTCAAAGTCAAAGGGTCAACATTGATGTTGCCTAATGGAAGGTCTTGTCATGAGGAATACACAAGTGAAACATTTTCAAAATGTTTTAGAGATGTATGAAGTTTTTCAACTGCAAAATTTATGGGGGTATGAGGTATTTTCAAGAGTGTAAATTTTACATAATTCAAATTTCTTCATTACATTTTCATTGAAAGGAAAACTGAAAAAAATACCATTCGGACTCTTCTGTGTAGGAGATAAGAAAATTGTTTATGGTATATATCCTTTAAATGTACTTATAGTCTTGTGCGTCAAGATATAAATCCCCCCCCCCCCCAAAAAAAAAATCGCGAGGTTAATGGATTGCCGATTTATAGTTCGATTACTATTTCCCCATTACTAAATATCAGAAAAAACAGTGGGTTTGTTTTAAAAAGATGTTTATTCGTTATATTTGTATATTCATGTTATTTTATAAGGGCATGCAACGTCATTGCTAAAATGTTCTGCAATCATCTTAAAACTTGAATATCAAACTCATAACGAGTGATCTCTACAGGTGAAACCAACTATAAGTCTCCTTTCAATATGTCTGTCTTTTTGATAAAATGTATCTTTGACTGTCGTCAATCTGTCCCAATTGATTTCAAACAAGGACCCCTAGAAATTTAACAGGTGGGATCAAGTTGCTAGCTAGAAGGAGTAAGTATCCCCTGCCGATGGTCACATCGATCGTGATCCCTTTGTATTCATCAAAAAGACATGATATTTTATAGTCAATTCAAAATAAAAACAAAGGCCTAACAATCAATATGAATAGGTCAGCCAAAATACGGCCTAATGAAAGGTAATATTTGCTCACAAGGTCATTATTACGACCATGAAGATTTAAACGGGGTTGTTGAAGTTCATGTGACATCAACTTATCTGTCAGTATCCTATCTTGCTTTAAAAACTGATCGAACTCGGAACATTTTCTCGCGTATCGAATAAGTTCAGATATGTAAACACCATATGCAGGTGATAGAGTGATATTGCTTCATAAATCAGGAAAGTTGACGAAAAGATGGAATATATACTGTAACGTGTCTTATATTTATTGCAGTTTCTCATCAATCGCTTATTTCCTTATGACAGCATTTTTCTCATTCCATCTGTTGGTGGTTACTTGTAGATTAACAAAACAAATTTCCTTTTAAAGACAATTCTTAGATACCTTCATAGATATATATTCATGTCAGATAAAATATTCTTCTCTTGCACATCACATTACATAAAAGGTAAATAAAAAGAAAATTATATAGTCAAGTTAAGTCACAAACTTGTTTTTGCTTACATTTTTTCGCTAACAAGGAAGATAAACTTCACATGACATGCCTTTTGTTATCTGAAAGTATACTGTATCTTGGAAGTACTAGTATGTAAAATGTTTTTGGCAATTTCACACATTTTTATTTAGATTTCTCAGAAACACTTTTTTTTGTCAGTTTGGATACAATGTAAGTGATAACATTTAAGACTTTGAATTTATCAAATCTTCTGCTTCCTGGTTAATAAAAATTTCAAACATGGCTTATCAAAAGTACTTGAATTATTAAAATAAAATCTTCAGTTTTCAGTGATCAACAGAAAGTTTCCAAAGGCATCGTGACAATGACTACAGACGGTGATTGCAAATCTTTTAATATCGGCAATATTAGAGTCCTCCTTAGGACAGGGAATCTTTGTAAGCAACAGGTAAATTTTCGAGCTTATTTGTCCCCTATTGGCAAAACAGTAATGGACTCTATCAGTTTTCTCCTCGTATGTATGTCTCTGTCCGTCTACCTGTCTGTCCGTCCGTCTGTAAACTTTTACATTTTAGACTTCTCCAGAACCATTGGGTCAGTTTCAACCAAAGCCATGAAACGTTTTTTGGTCATATTCTGTTTTTTTAAGAGTAGATAATTTAAAATAAGTTAAAATTAAATGGCATCTTTATTTTTTTTATCTCCTGAACTAATGTTAAAAACTTGTTGAAAGTTGACACTTACATGGTTGTATATGAAACCTTTCATAATG